AATTTAATTTGTAAAAAATTATTTCTAACCACTCAAAAAATAAAAATGATAATTATTTTTTATTTTTTATTTCTTAACCAGATTAATTTTTAATTTTTAAAAAACAATTTCTAAAAATCAAACCATACATAGCCTAAGAATCTTTTGATAAGTTATTTCTTACGTTGGTAACTTATTTAATTATTTTGTTAATTTTACGACATTTTTACCATCTGAAACCTGTTTGGTAACCATTTCATTTTTAGTTTTCAATTTATATTTACAAAAATTTTAAAAATTATCATAAAAACTTGTTTGATAATTTTTTTGATTTATAAATGATTGTCTCAATTTGTAAATTTGAGGAAAAAACGTAAATTCAAAAAATGAGTTTATGTTGGTTCTCAAACAGAAATTTAAAAATTTTACTAACAAAATTTTTTTTTTTCCAATTAATTTTTTTTTCAATGAATTTTTTTTCCAACTAATACTAATCGAGGGGACAATTGGTAATGCTACTTTAAACCTTAGGGAGAGGATTGTAATTTCTAAAATGTGAGGGGTGTCAATGTAATTTACCCAGTAAGGGCAAAATTGGTATTTAAAAAAATTAAATTGGTGAGAGGGGAATCTGTAATGAAACTTTAAATCCCAAGGAGAGATGTAATTTTCAAAAGGTGAGAAAAAAACTATAATAAATATAAACCTCAGAGAATGTGAGTGTAATTTACCCAAAAAAAAAAAAAAAAAAAACATAAATTTTTTAGTGCAATAAAAACTCCCAAAGGAGTTGAGTTTAAAAAGCTTAATAAAGAAGAATTGTTTTGGGAAGTTGGTAAGCTTTTTACCAAGTTTTTTGATTTTTTTGGAAATGATTTAAGAAGTTAGTAAAAAGTTAACTTTTTGTGTTTTAGTTTAATATTTAATTATGGTGTCAAATCAAATTAAAATGACCAAAATACCCTTATCCAACATAAGAGATTTATTTTTTTATTTATTTTTCATAGGCCCTAATTTGTAATTTTAGGACTGTGTTTTTGACACTTTCCAAAGAAATTTTGTTGCGTTTTTGGCAGCCACATTTTTAGACATTTTATCAAAAAATGTGACTTTTTACTATGTTCCCAAAATGGTACATAAAAAGTTAAAACTCAAATCTTCGGAGTTTTTTTATTCAAATCTTTGAATCAAATCTTTGGGGTTGACTACTAAATGCATTCCCATTCTAGAGCTTGGATGAGTTTGAGGACGACTCCAATTTTCAGTATTCAACTTTCAACTTGTTGCGTATTTCAATTGCTATTGAAGTTTATGAATTCAAAGCATTAGCTATCATGTATCATGTAACGATGTCCCATAAAAATAAATAAATAAATAAATAAATAAATAATAATAATAATCTTCCCCTAATGAAATATTTATGAACTGCAAATATAAACATTTATAAAATTCTTATACATTATAAAGTCATTCAATACTTAATACAAAATTATATTCGCAAATCAATATACACATTTATTATGTGTGTTAAAGAGTATCACGTACGTGACACGAACAATCAATGCATCTTATAGACATTATCAGAATAAAAAATCATATAATTTGACATAAAGTTTTGATGTAATTGAGTCAAAATAGCAACTAAAATTATTAGTCTTAACGAATTTGTCTTATAACTATTGATTATTTGCCAAAAATTAGTTGAAATTGATTTATAATAGTTGACTATTTTCTAAAGTTAAATTTTTTTTTTGGGGGGGGGGGGACAACTTTGTTGAAAATAAATTGTAATTGAGGGATTATGTCATCAAATTAAATTAAAATTACTAATTTTTTAGTAAAAAAAATTGATTAGAAATTGTGTTGGAATTTATCAGGTGATAAAATTGATATGGAACTCATCCCACATTCAATCTATTTGTGGCTAAAAAATAACACGAAAATATTATTTTGACAAAATTCATTTGATTTGATTTGATTTTTAAAATTTGTTTTCTCAATTTCGTTTTCGAAGTCTACTTTTTTATTTCATAATATCTATAAACTAATTTGATAGAATCAAATAGTAAAAATATATTCTTATTTCAAAAAAACAAAAGATCATATAAAAATGACTGAGTACTTTTTATTTTTTTTATTTTTTCCGCTAGTCCAATTTTTAATTTTTAAGAAAGATTTTTTTAAAAAATATTTATAAAAGGGCTAATTCATCAAGATTCATATACATTTTGACCCCACTAGAACATCTTCGAAATGAGTATATTTGTATGATTTTTATAGTTGAGCATGTCAATATGTGCAAACTTATGAATGAGAAGAGTAAAGCGATATTTATTAACAATTGAGAGAATTTTGTGTATAATTATCCCATTATAAAAACAAAATTAATTAAATAATCCTAAAAAATCAACCGTGGCCATACAAAACCAACCTTAGAGCATCTCCAATCTTGAACCAAAATTTTCATCAAATCTGAGTAAAAAAATGACTTTTTCCCCAATCTGATACTGAGTCTCCAACGGTTGATTTGCATCAAATTTTCATCCAATCTGTGCCGGAATAACCGGTTGGTCGCCCGGTTAAGCCAAAAAAAAAAAATTTTGATTTTTTTTTTTTTTTTGGAACTATTTGAACCTTTTAGTGGTCGATCGGTTAGTCAACCGGCTGGTCGACCGGTAAGGCAAAGAAATTTTTTTATTTTTTTTTCAATTGTTTGAACTTTTTTTGGAATTGTTTGAACCTTGTGGTGGTCGACCGGTTGGTCAACCGGCCGGTCAACCGACTGTCTCCCCCAACGGTCATGCACAGTGTTTTGGTGAAATGCGGAGCTTGTCCTCCTTTTGGTGAAACGTTTGGTAAATTCTCGATTTGATATCAATTTGATAAAACCGTTGGAGCTCTAAACAGTACTTTTTTTAACAAATTTTAAATTCGATGCTAGATTTGGTGAAGGGTTGGAGATAGTCTTAGCTATCAACCACCTCATGGAACCAGCCGGCAGCATTTTCAAAACAGAAATTTGAATTTCGATGTTTTGATTTCAACCCACAATTTCAATATGGTGTATGCATCAAAATTTGGTGTATGAAGTCTGGAACACTATGTCATCATGTTTTTAATTAATAATATTTTGTAATTTAGATATTATTAATTTTTTATTTTTTAAATCATGTATATATATAAATTTTGTTCTATACTACTATATAAAATAAACAAAAATGGTTGGGACTCCCAAAGTTGGGGATCCTGTGACCTCCAAAATGATGTAGACTAATCATGTATTTTTGTTATTTTTGTTTTTTCTTTCCTTCTTGGACCAATCACAAGTAAGTAGGAATTGTGGGAATTGTGTTTTTTTTGGAGTCCATAGCATTGTTGTAAAATAAAAGTTGGAATTGTTTTCTTTCTTTATCTATTTTTTCTATTAGTATAGAATAATGTACAAGACTTAAAATTCATACTTGAGTCATGTAAAAACCCAAACCTTGATCCTAAGAAAGAAAGTGCACAAGATGTATAAGACTTGAAATCAAAATCTTGAGTTTAGGAGAAAAAATGTACAAGACTTAAAACTTAGAAAGTGCATGTGCATAGGACTAGAAACTTAAAAAGTACATAAGACGTGCACAAAACTTGAAACCAATATCTTGAGTCTAGGAAATAAAATGTACAAGACTTGAAAAGTGCACAAAAAATATTTCTATTTAATATAGAGAAGTGCACAAGACTTGAAATCAATACATTGAGTTTAAGAAAAAAAATTCTTACTTGGAAGTTCATAGGATTGGAAACCAAAACCTTTGAGTTTAAGAAAGAAAAATCTTACCATTTGAAGAGCATGCATAGCTAAAAAGTTAACAAGGCTTGCGTATTAGCACAAGCCCAACACACACTCCACTGCTCTTTACATATAGTTTCATAGTGAAGAAGAAGTAAACATCATCACAAATGATATTAAACTCCTCTTCATCAGAGTTAAACCCGATACTTTACACTACAATACACAGTAATTAGACCAAATGCCTTTATTTGACTCCAATTTATGGAACTACTTACAATCGTTTTGAAATTTTTTATAAAATATTTGGTTCAATTTTTATTATCGTTTGTAAGATGAATAAGCTAATTATTAAAAAAAATTTACTACTAATTATCAATTATTAATTTGTAATAAATTACATGCTCAATAATTGCATGTTTTAATTTGGAGTCTAGACAAATAGTAAAGTTGCAATTTTATTTCAAAATTACTTTCAAATAATTATATATTTTCATAAAATATTATATTTTTTATCAAAATCACACATACATAGGGGTGTGGGGGTTGGCGAGCATGGTGACCCTACAAACCTAAAACAAATGTCTGTTTGTAAGTTTCAGATCAGATCCTGGGTATCGATCGAGCAAAAACTTTTCTATTTTATAATAATATATTTAAATACAATTTGAATCTTATAATAAAATAAAATATTAATTTTATTAGTTTATTTTTTTTATTTAAATTATTCATCTATATTCGTTAAGTAAAATTAAAAATATATATATTTTATTATTATACTAAATTTAAGTGTTTAAAAAATGTCTAAATTAACATTTTCATTAATAATTAAAATACTATTTTTCTGTTAATTTTATTTAACAAAAATAGACAAATTATTTAGACCTAAAACAAATCAGTATAAATGATTATCCCAAAAAAAAAATCAATGTAAATGTATGAAAAATGTTTAAAAAAAACTTTCACATTGAGTTTATGAACTAAAAATACGATTACATTCTATCAGTTTTGCTTAACAAAAATAGACATATAATTTTGATTATAAATAAATAAATAAAATTAAAATTAAAATTATCAAAATGTAAATTTCAAAATTTATTTGGTTACCAATCTCAGATTTTTTCTTTTTGTTGCAATTTCCTTTTTTTTTTTTCCTGGTTTGTTATAGTTTTTGTTTTTATTATAATAAAAGAAAGTAATATTAACTATTATTAATTACAAGTCAGAATATGTGTGTCCGTATGTATCTATTTGGATTTGCCTTCCCTTTCTCGCCCAGTTCTCTCTTGTTCTTCTTCTAATTTCAATTTTTTTGATTATTTTTCTTCATATATATATATATATATATATACTCTTCCTGAGTATGTATATATTCTTCGTCTAGAAAACGAGGAAATAGAATTTGGGTCTGTATCTGTATATATAAATAAATATATATCTGTATATAAATCTGTAAATTTGGTGTCAGATAGATTGAGAGCACTGGTTTTTGCAGCATGGTTTCTGGGTTTTGTTCTCTTATGGAGAATGTTGGAGATATGTTTTGCATGCAAGCTGATTGATTCTCTTTCTGTGTTCAAAAGTTCTTCAATTTCTGGTGAGTGCTTCAATTTCTAGCTTTACACATTTTCGATCCGTACACTTTCTTTGATTTGATCTGGGTTTATTTTGATTTCTCTCTGGTTTTTCAATTTCGAGCTGTTTTGGTTTTGATTGAAGTCTTGAAACAGTGTTTTTTTTTTTTTATGGATTCAATGTGTTTGATATTCTAATTTGTGGTTCTTTTAAAACCTATGTTATGTATGGATTTGAGATTGCATATTTGGAGTTTGGTTACTTTGATTCAAGGGTTTTGTGTTATTTCTGGATTCGAGATTGCAGATTAGGAGTTTAGTTGCTTTGATTAAAGGGTTTTCTGTTTTGTTTGGATTTGAGATTGCAGATTAGGAGTTTAGTTGATTAAAGGGTTTTGGGATCGATTTGTGTGTTGATTTTAGTGTGTATAGAAGCTGGTGAATGGGGACTCAGAGAATGGGATCTCAAGCTGCTGTTGTTGGTGGTGGAGCCCTAGAGCATAGATCGCAAGCATTGGTGCGGGAAGGATCTTTATACAGCCTCACTCTCGATGAGGTTCAGAACCAATTAGGCGATTTGGGGAAACCACTTAGTAGCATGAACTTGGATGAGCTTCTCAAGAGTATTTATACCGCTGAAGCTAATCAGGGAATGGGCGGTTTTGATTATGCTGCTGTGCAGCAACAAGGCCAAATTGCATCGGTTTCATCTCTGAATCGACAGTCGAGCCTAACCCTGACTAGGGATCTGAGCAAAAAGACTGTTGATGAAGTGTGGCAGGACATTCAACAAGGGCACAAGAATGATCTTGATCGGAAAGCCCGGGAAAGGCAACCTACTCTTGGTGAAATGACATTGGAGGACTTCTTGGTTAAGGCAGGGGTGGTTGCTGATTCTTCCCCAGGGAGGAAAAATTCGGGTGCTGTTTTAGGGACTGATCCAATTGCATTGACCCAACAAAATGTTCAACCACAAGCTCAGTGGATGCATTATCAGATGCCCTCAATTCATCACCCACCACAGCAACAACAACAGAATATGTTGGCTGTTTACATGCCGGGGCACCCAGTTCAGCAGCCTGTTCCTATGGGCGCAAATCCAATTATGGATGTAGCTTACCCGGAAACCCAAATGACCATGTCACCATCCCCTTTGATGGGCACACTTTCAGACACACAGACACCTGGACGGAAAAGGGTTGCCCCGGGAGATGTGATTGAAAAAACTGTTGAGAGGAGGCAGAAGAGAATGATTAAGAATAGGGAATCGGCAGCCCGGTCAAGAGCAAGGAAACAGGTTAGATTTTTTAGAATTCAAATGTTTGCGAGTATGTGTGTGTGGGCCAATTAGTTTGCTTTTCCCTTTATTTTATGCTCGGCTATTTGAGATGCCTATGTTGGTGGGCAGGCTTACACTCATGAGCTGGAGAACAAGGTTTCACGGTTAGAAGAGGAGAATGAAAGGCTTAAGAGACTGAAGGTGCGTTCTGTTATAATTTCAGTGTGTTCCTGTCTTTTTATATGAAATCTTATCTCCATTTCATGGTTCACTAAGACCTAATTGTGTTTTTGGTAATAGTATTTTTGGATGTGATATGGAAAGGCAAAAGCATGCAAATGTAATGTCACATATGCTTTACTGTGAATTGCTATGCACCTAGTCTGCTAAAACTTGGTTGAGCATCAATTCTAAATCATGAATTGAATGCAAATACCTGATGGATGTCAGACAATAATCAGCCAAAGTTATTAAGATTTTTTGAGTGATTATTTGACAAGTGCTTTGCTTTATTTTTGTTCTGACAAGTTTGGGTTGAGGGCTTACAGTTATTTTCAGTGGTGTGGGGCTTTAAAATATGTGGGGTGATTGAACTAGAAAGACACGTTCAGAGTGTTTTGTCTTTGAAGTTTCTTATCAATTTTTTTTTTCTTAAATGTTCTTATGCCTTCATTTTATTTTCTGATTTTGAACCCTTGCTAGATAAATCAATTCATCTAACTGATTAAAACCATTGGTCATCAACATTGTCGCTATTCTGATCTTTGCCCAGCAGATCCCTTTTCAGATGGGGTGGGTCACCACTTCACTTTCACTCAAGCTTGAGCCAAATCAGTATGGGTGCCCTCTTAGACAAAGGCGGTAAATTAATTAAAGACTTGTGATACAATCTTGGGGCATGGGTCATGCAAGGTGCTAGCCTAAGCAAAGAAGGCACATGTTTAAAAAAAAATGTATATACGTATATAATATATAATTACATAGAGAGAAAAAAACAAAGTACTATATAGTTAGAAAATTAGAACTACAGATAATTTTCCAAGTAAATTAACTATTATCAAGATTATCAAACCATAAAGGTCTGTTTTGAACATCAATTTGAAAAAATAGATCTATGATATAATAGATAAATTTAAACAAACATGTACTTGGGTTTGTCAATGAAAAAAGTTGCATATAATTTGGTGCTTGTCATGGAAAAATCTACGCAATAAAGGATTTTGGACAATTGTACAGTGCAAATAAAGTGAAAGAAGCTCCTAGTAACTTAAGAGAAGAAAAATGAGAGGAGAGTTGGTTAAAAAATGTGGGAGAGTCTTTACTTTATTTATCAAAAAAAAAAAGTGGGAGAGTCTTTGATAGAGAATATGAGTTGAAAAGTTGAAGTTGATGCAAATGCTTTGCTTGAAGCCAAATGAAATCAGAATAACAAAGGATAAAATGATGAAGGAAAAGAATGAAGAGTGAGTATTTAAATATTTGCCAAGGTGAGTTGGACAAGTTGCAGCTGAGTCAAGGGCAAGGGTTGGTTATTTCGAAGTAGAGTTGTAGTAGCTTTATCTAGGCAAAGGTTCTTCCTTTGGGGCTTTGTTCTTAAAATTTTCATATTACATATTTATGGGAATGAACATTGATAGGGTGCATGAGTTCATTATTGATACACAGTGCTTCAGTGAAGGGAATACAAGAATATGAGCGATAAAATAAAATTCAAAGAGGCTCCTTTTTTAGGCATTAGGTTTTTTTTTGGGTGAATAAGTCAATTAGGCATTTGGTTCACTAACAGGCACACACTGTTTTCCTTAAGTCTCAGTCCAAGCAAAGGTGATTGACCTTGTACTAGACTAATTATGCTTGGTGCAGATGGCTGAGCTTGGAGAGTTCGAGTGTGAAAAGTATTCATGGAGTATCTAGAGAATGGTCAGAATATTTGAAACTGGCAAAAGATAGAGGGATTAATTAGATTTTCACAATTCATAGACCAACATATGTTTTGTTAAATCAAAATTGATAATACCTTGATAGAAATCAGTTGATGGCATCTTTGCTTAAGGGCTTGCATTGGTTACTGCAGGTTACATAGATGTTGGCCTTGTGCTGAATTCAGGAGAGGAATTTATAGCATGTGAGATACTAAAAACCATCCTATTAGAGAACTTACTTTCCAGGCAAGAAGTTTGCTATGAATATTTGATATTTTTGGCCATGCTCAGAGTTGTACAATTATCCTACAAAAAACACTTTCTTGAATAAGATTCTCATACATGGAACTAAAATTCCTTCACTGCTAGTTTTTTGGCACGACTTCTTAGCACTTTTTATTCTTCAAGCAACAGATCCTCGCATGTTACTCCTTTGGTCTCCAATTCATCTTTGAACTATCTCCCTGTATAACCCATTTTCCTTTTTTCTGTTTTTCCGCCTGCACTTCCTTTTTCTGGATTCCATGTCATATCTGTCTGCTGCATTTTCGGCTTCTTTTTTAGAATAATAGTTGTTATAGCTTTCGAGATGTTGATGGTGATTGTGACGAGAAGTTTTACACATACCACTGGCATAGAAGGAAGCAACCAATATTTCAGGCTTAGTCTGGCTTTAGTTCTCTTTTTCTTTTCAAATTTAATTGTTTATTTGTTTCCTTATTGGATTGTTACCTTATTTTAGGATTGCCTATGTAAGGCTTTGGGTGTATGGATTATTGGAGTTTTTGGCATAATTGAGAATTAAGAAATATGGCATAACTGCTCTCTTGACATAGTCTCTCTCTCAGATTCTTCTCTTAATTGTTTTTCCTTTCCTTTTTTTCCCTCCCTTTTTTTCCCTTACCTTCTCCACCCCCTTTTCCTTTCCCTCTTTATTCTTCATCCTACTCTATTTCTCCTCTGGTTCTACATCAATTTTGGTATTAGAGCCTAGCTTCAACCAAATCCTCTACTATTACTTTGTCTTCTGCAAGCTTGTGGGAGAATCGCAGCTTCATGACCCATGGCGATATTCATAGTATGTCTTTGCGGCGATAGACCCTTAGCTATTCATGGGATATCCCTATATGTTATCTTGCCCAATCCAATCCATGAATCAATCATAGCGAAGAGTTTTATGGACCGTATGGTAGAGATGCTAGTGATACTATTAACAAAGATACCATCGTGACGAACCTAGATATTTTCTTCAGAATTTTAGGTGATATCACAAAAAGGGTCATAGTGGATTCCTCTAGTTTTGACAGTGTGTTGGATCCTAATAGTTTCTTGGACTAGCGGGCTACTATAGAGGACTACTGTGAGCAGGATTACATGTCAGATAGCCACTGGGTTCGTTTTGTTAATAGAACTCAGTGGCTCTACAAACAAAGTAGTATTATTAGGGAGTCCAAATAGACCTAGTGGGTTCTTTCTTGCATACCTATTTACTACTTATCCTTGTATAGGATTCGGTGGGAGTGGCAAATTGGATAGAGAAAATTATAAGTATTCTTTTTTTGGGCGGGTAGTGATGAGGGAAAGAAGACCACTGATCGGCCGTTTTTGCAATAAATAAAGAACTAAACAAAACACTAATTCAGTAAAACGATGGATTGTCTAGGTATCTTATCATGAGGACTTTGGGCTGAGTTGTATCAATTCAATTGGCAATTTCTAAATTAATTTGAAGAAGAGAGAATGATTGATTTTTTCTAATTAAAACTAAATTAATTGCAAATAAAAGAGTTGTCCAAATATGGAGAGAGACTTAGGATCTCAAATCCACTACTAATCGCATATCACGGAATTTAAATAACCAATTATAATAAATCAATGGCTCGGATAATAATGATGTATCTTAGTTACAAGCTTTGATAACATCACCAAGAGGATGAGTATATTCAAAACATAATCATCCTCAGTTGGCACGAATCGTCCACACTAAACTAGGGTTGTGGCACAACCCGTCTCCCCTAAGCATGACTCGTCTCACGTTTTGTATATACAAGAAAGTAAAACAGTTGTATAACCATGCATTCTCAATCACAGAAATCGAACACATAAATCGAATAAAAAAATTGTTTTGAATAAAAGATCTAAAAACGATCATACAATGATTATCCAATCCCAAAGAAATTAAAATACAAAATTGCATGATATTTGGTTAGAGTTTCATCTTGATCCTAAGAAGAAAGCTTAGCCGTTCATGGAGAGGTTGAACACTTCGAAGGTTGAAGAGAATGCCATGGATTGATGATTGTTCTTCCTCTCTAGTTTCTAGACGTCTTCTCTAGGGTTTCGAATCCCAAAACAAGTGCCCAAAACCTCCTTCTATCACCTCCAGTCAACTTTGAGTCAAAAACGGGTGCACGCAAAATGAGACAAATCTGCTCGTGCGGTTTACATATCCCGCTCAAGCGGATCAACTCAGAGGCAAAACTTAGTTCGGGGAAATCCGCTCGTGTGGATTGTGAATTCCGCTCAAGCGGATCTACTTAGTCACGGATTTTTGCCTCTTTTTGTGATCTTTTCTGTCTCCGGAGTGATGGTAGCCTGAGAAGGAAGAAAAACACTTTATTGTATCAAATAACATAAGCTAAAAGATTGAAAACATAAGTTAGAGAGCCTCAAAGTGTAACATTTCAGCTCAGATCAACCACTTGGTTAGTTGGGAAGTGGTTCTCTTCTGAAAGATGAGGGTCTCGCTCTAGGAAGTAGCTAAGATTACTGCTTTACTTGGCTAGTGATTATGTATGTTTCCTAGGGTGTGGGAGACCTTATGGCATTCTGTTATCAAGAACAAGTACAAGATGCATGCCGATGGGTGTGACTCTCTTGTGGTTAATTGGGGGAACTCTAGATCTCCATGGAAATCTATTTTTCAATGCATTTTTTTCTTTCTAGGTTCATTGACTCACTAACATTTGGTTTTAGACTTTGTTCCCTCATTTATATTGCCTTTCTCAGATTCATAATGTTTCCATTGCTTACATGACTTCTTCATGTGTGGCTTTGATTTTTTGGAATTTCAATTTTTTCAGAAATGTTAATGATCAGGAGACCAATGAATTGGTTTCTTATTATGTATCTTTGATGGTGTTTCAGAGTAATGGGTCTATGGTAAGCTGATGTGGACTATTCATTCTTTTGGTTTGTGTTCTTATAACTCGTTCTATGGTACAATCACTGATAATCCAAATGCTCTTTTCTTTGCACCTCATAAGATGATTTGGAGTGCATGCAAATGTTGCTCTTAAAGTTAAATATTTACATGGTCCTTAGTTCATTAAAGCTCAATAGTAATGACATGATGAAGAAAAGGTGAGTAGGATACTCAATTGCCATTTACTCCATGGTTTGTCATGTGCCGATCCCATGAGGAGGGGCATAGATCACTTGTTTCAGCTAGTGGAGATGGATTGGTTAGTTCCAGCCTCATGTTTATATGATTATGATTAATTATCGAGGTTTTGATCATTCTAAGAATGGTCTAGTCCTTTAGAGTTTCGTTATTTGTGCCTTGCTTTGGGTGGTGTGGCTGGGGAGAAATGCTAGAATTTTTAGGATAACGCTGAAGACGTAGTAGTGGATTTGTGGAATAAATTTTTTTATTGATTCCTTTGATGTCACCTCCCTTTAAGGGGATACCTGTGTTACCAGCTGTGTTATTAATTTCTCATGATTGGAGAGCCATTTGTGATTGGTAATTTGCTCTCCATTTTATCTTTTTGGTGGACTATTGTCCTTTTTTTCTTTTCTTTTTTAAATTTTTTTCTTGCTCCTTTTTAATAATATTTCTTCATTGTCAATAAGAAAAATGAACCTACTGCGATTATATGCGGAGCCCATTATTTTTTGAGCTGAGATAAAACAGAACTTGAAGCAGTTGTCCCAAGTGTGTCTAACTGCCTACTTACTACCTAGGTAAGTTTAAGAACTCTTTACGAGATGCAATGTTGGAGGCGAACCTTGGGTACACTTAACAAGTTTATTAATGGGCTAGACCGTTGGAGGAAGCTTATCATAAAGCTTTAGAGATAGAAAAGTAACATAGCTTCCTGCCTAAGGCCAGATGGCTTCTCTAGCTGGAGAGTCCCACCAACTTAGGTTTGTTTCCTTTGAGAGGTCAGATGGAGTTATACGATTAGGCCCAGTTGCTTCCATAGATCGTAATATCCTAACTTGAGAGTCATTAGCACCAAGGGAAGGAATCCTTTTTCCCTAGCTACCATCAAAATACTTCCACTATTGGGTGTTACCATTGCTATGGCAAGAGCATATAACGTCTCTGTTGAAAAGCTTGATATGCATTGTTGGACCCCTTTCTTGATAGCTTAAGCCTTTGGGACTAGTAATGATTAACATGGCATCAGAACTTTACAAAATCTAGAAAACAATCTTGTTGCCGAAATGGTTAAGCTTTTGCGACTAGTACTAAAAAATAATTCTGGTTGGTAACTTAGCCAACATAAATCCCGATATATCAGATGATGGAGTTGCCAAATTAGTATACTTGAAATGATTTTTTCACTCAATGTGGTCGATATCCCTTTTTGGCTCAAGCATATCAAATACTTGATCAATATTGAAAATTTCTGATAATGGGAGCTTTATTGCGACTTTGGGGTTGTTAGAAGAGTAGCCTAAAGGTGGACTGTGAGAACCTAAAGGTGGAGCCTGGGTGACCTTGTTGCAAATCATTGCATTTTTTTCTGGTTTTTTAGGATTGCTTACTATGTTCTTTCCTTCCTAGAGGTAACAAAAGAATATATGGGGCAGTCAACCAATTCTTTGGTTGTAACCTTCGCAATAAAATACAGAACTATACAACTGTCATTGTCTTAAATTAAACTTGACATGAAACCACTAAATTTTTTTTTTTTGGGTGCTGAATTTAGTGTGCTTTATGGAAACCACATGTAATAGATGCATAATTTTTATCAAATGATAGTGTAATGCAAATTCATTGAGTTGAATAATTTCTTGCCAACCTTTTAAGATATATGTTCTGAAGACTTTTTGATTTATGTTTATAATGGGTTCATTTTTATTGATAAAGTGTATATGGTTATTGATGAACTATTCATTAATGAATTTTACACGATCTAAAGTGTTTCTACAATATACATTTCAACATATTGTGTTACTGAATTGAAGGAATGGCTTCAATTCTTGTATACTTGTGATGTTGCCAAAGAAGAATAAGACAAAGCCCATATGATTCTCTCTCTCTCTTTTTTTTTTTTTTTTTTTTTTTTTTTTTTCCCAATTTATATATTGAACATTTACATCTTTAGTGTATTTTTCTCCAACTACTCAAAGAGGAGTGTTGTTGGACTACAGAAGTTCCAACTTATCTGAGCAACCTTTGCAAAGCATATTTTAAAAATAAATTTTTTTTTTTTTAACCAAAAAAAAAAAAAAAAACCTTGTCTTCTCTGTGGACTTGAATTTTAAAAATAAATTCTGTGTTGCTACTTCTCTCCAAATATGATGCCTGTGTTTTATCTGTGAGTGAAATGACATTCTGTTGGGGAAAACCAATGCTGACATTATGTGAACGCGATAATTTAAACTTGGAATTGTCATGGGATTATTTAGTTTAGGAGAAATTAACTTGCAATTCTAGGCTGATTTTTTTGTTTTGCTATCAACCTTTGAGTTTCCAGGTTTCTGCCAATAGGGAAATCCCTTTGTATTATGAAAACAGTACTTTCTTATTGCATGCTTCTTAAACATTGAAGTTCTAACTGTCGTTCTCCAAGGACGGGAGAATGATAGGATGTGTGTTCTTGGGGCCTATTTGGTGCAAGTTTTCTCAAACTGAATTTAGATAATCAAAAAGCATAAGCTAAAAGCGGCCCTCTCCCCTCCCAGCTTTCAGATAATCAACATTTTCAGCTTATTTAAGCTATTGTTGTTTAGTAAATTATAAGTAAAAGTTGCACCAAGCATTCTGACACAATTTCTAAACTATAATAAGCTCCAATAAGTTGTACCAGACAGGACCTTATTCTGTGGTGTTGTAGGTAGAAATGATTTCTTGATTGAACACTGTTGCGACTATTGCAGACATAACAAATATACAATCCACCTCCTTTCAATTTATTGAAGAATTAATTTTTTTTGTTTTTCAAATAAGTATGTATTTTTCTTTTCTGATTTTATTTTTATGTGATTTTATCTTTTTATGTGATATAAGATTCACCTCCTTTCAATTTATTGAAGGTATTTCCATGTGTACCGCCACCCGAGCCAAAGTATCAACTGCGCAGAACAAGTTCAGCCCCTTTCTGACAACCGGTTTTCGTGTTATGTAGATGCGTTGTGTTTGTAATGCCATCTAGTTTTCATTAGCTAACCGTAGTTGTGAAATTTCCCAATTGTACGAGGGAGCGTCCATGTTGGGATGATTTGTCTTGGGAACTCTTTTTTCTTTTCTTTTTTTTCTTTTTTTCTTTATTTATTTTTTTTTCCCTGTAGTAATGGGTGCTTAATCTTCTGCCCTAGGTTGGTTGTCTTTGCCCTTGAGCCTTTTTCCTTGTATGTACATTTTATAGTTTCAACTTTGAATTTATGCAGCATCATAGTTTTCGGTAATTTCTCTGTTCTAAGATACATTATCTGTTTCTTCTGAGATTTGTTTTGTTTCTATGAACATTGGATAAATCAGTCCAAAAAAAAAACATGGAGGTACAAGTGTGGTATATGCTGAATTGTAAGTTAGGTTACAATTTTTACTTCTATCAGAGCACAGACTAATACTAATTTTTACTTCTACAAAAATTAGGGCTTTGCCCAAAAATATTTCTCCAGAAATACTAATTAAAATCTCAGTACTCTTTTTTAGCCAGTCAGTCTTTAAATATTGTTTCTTTCATTTTTTTTTTTAGTATTTTTTTTAAAGTATGAAGAGAAATGCTAGAGGTCACAATTTTAGATTTGAAAATTTACCTTTGACAAAGGAGTTGAATTTGATATGGTTGAGTGGGTGATTAATTAAAAATTGACACTTATTATGACACACCATTATAAGTCAAATTGAGGAATTTTTTTTAAAGATCTCAAATATTTTCTAAATGTTTATTGCAGTAAAATTAACCTCCTCGTTGCATCCACCAAAATAAATAAATAAATTACACTTGTCACCTTTTGATATTTAAAAAAATTATCACAAATATCATAAATTTGGCATAAATAAATAAATAAATAAATTACACTTGTTTCCTTTCAAGATTTAAAAAAATTATAGCAAATATCGTAAATTTGGCATAATTATAGGAGCTCTTTTTAACTAAATCTAAATTCACTAAAATTAATGCAGATAATGTGTAAATAAAAAATATATATTTATATAAAATATATGACATCATTTTTATTTGTTTATTCATACAACTAATTAATTATTAATGAAATAATATTAAGGCACGATTTGACATTCCTTACAAAAATGTCCCTTTTTTATATTTTTATCTTTTTTGAGTCATATCACCTTTATTTTTTTTTGTATATCTTTTTGTAAAAAGTTAAAAATAAATTTATTAAAATCATCCCAAACACCCACCAATTAATTATTAATGAATTAAAATTATAAAAAAATCAGTGTAATTATAATAAATTTGTAAAATTTAATATATGTTATTAAACCTCGAGGACGGTTATTGTAATTTACCAAAAGAAGAAATGAAACAATAATATATATATATATATATATATATATATATTATAGTGAAAAAGGCCCAGGCCACGGATTAGTATGACCTTTTGACTCTAATATTTTATTGAATTTATTCATAATATGACATTTTTTTAAAAAACATTTGTTTTATATTTGATTCATTCAAAAAATAATAAAAAATTAATTGTAAAAGAATAATAATTATTCCATAAAAAAATGAAAAAAATAATCATTTAATTTCATTGCACTTTATTCCATTCCACTACCTGAACTTTTTCTCCAAAAATAAGATTAGTTTTTTTACGAAATTAAATAGAATCAATGATTAAATATATGATAGAAATTTTAATTTCTATTATAAAGTACAATTATGGAATAAATAGATGAGATACAATTTTAGTTCAAATGAGTGAATTATTTTTTATTAGGATGGAATAATCAAATGGTGATGTTACACGCCAACAATCATGTGGTATCACCGTTAAACTTTGATTTGGCTTCATTTGTGAAAAAAATATTTTTAGACCCGTGCCAATTACAGGCTATTCTTATGATAAATTTATATTTTCAAAATGCAAATCTTATAACAAATTATTTTGTTTGACTTGATTTTTTAAAAAATTATTTTTAGACGAATTTTCATTTGTTTTAATAAATTATTTTATTTTATTCAAATTATTTTTTTCTTATTTATTCTGCTAAATTAAAAATTCTAATAAGAAATAGTTGTAATTTTTAGTATTATAGAGACATTTTATATTTTTGACAAATCTCAGAGGTTTATTTGTAATTTACTCAAAACTATAATATTTATGTGTGATTAAGAATCTATTTCGCAAAACCCTTCACTCAAATTAGTACCACAAATATTAGTAAATATTATCAAAGAAGAGGGTATAATAGGAGAGTCAAATTATAGGTTGCCATTAGTGAATTATACAATGAAATAAGAAAAAAAGAAAAAAAGAAAAAAACACACATTAGGGGTCATTTTATTTACACACCACTTTTCCTCTCAAGGCAAATCATTAATTAATTTATTTTTTATTACGATTTTAACCTTAAGTGAAATGACTGTAGAGGACAAGTTATGATACACACCATTTGTGTATTTACCATAAAGGACAAGAATCAATATAATGTAATTCATCATTTTCAAACTTGTTTCTTACATATCTTCTCTATCAAGAATCCAAAAACCCTAAAACCAAAATCAAAAACCCTTCAACAAATAATAAAAAATATAGTATTATTGAATATTTTGATTGAATTCAATGAAAGATGCATCTGACAATTCTCATTCGGAAGAATGGTGCAATGAAAAGGGTTTTTTTTTGTTGTTTTTGTCTTCGTTTTCGTGTATGAGTGGTAAATCATTGTTCGGCTAACCAGAGGTGAATAATATATCATTGTTTGACAAACTACAATCGAACAACTTGCATATGTTCAACAGACTATAATTGAACAAATTACATATGTTCAACAGACTACAATCGAACATATTCCATTTGTTCGACTATCAAAAATTGAACAAATGTGTTCGGATTACTACGGTCGAACTATTTCATTTAATTCAACTCTGCACTTCCGAACAGTTATAATTTTTTTTTTTTTCAAAACTGTGCATCCGTGGAATGCAGTAATGTTGGATCTGGGGGTTTTGTTGACTACACGAGTCAATTTATTACTAATGAGGTAGTCTCATGTTAAAAATTGGTATTTTTTTCTTTTTGTTTTTGAATGTTTAATGTTTAATGACTTTGTTGAGCACCAACACAGTGTTCATTGCTTGAAAGTGAGAATGGAGAGGGGAAGATGGACGAAGGTGGGTGTGTGGGGGTGTGTGAGTGAGTGAGGGTAAATATGGGAGTTTGTGTGTACATTGTTGTGGATGGGTGTGTGAGTAAAGACAAATATGTAAATTTATGGTGTGTGATGAGCAAAATGTATATTTACTAAATTATTAAAGGTGTGCTTTTAGCAGTGATTTGCCTTGAGATAATTTATGGTGTGTAAATAGAGGCACCCACACATTAGGGGTATATTTGTAATTTATCGAAAATCAAAATATTTATGTTTCATAACTGACCAAGAATCTTTGCATAATTACGAACAAATTTTCATCTAAAATAATAACCACCAATATTGGTAAATAATATAAAATAAAAGGGCAAAATAGGAAAAAATAAATAAAATGCAAGTCTCTAATGATAAATAATTCCAAACCAAAGGCTAAAATGGAAAAACAAAAATATAGTAGTCAATTGGCATGTGGGTTTGGCATAGGTTGGGACTATTTTAGTCGAAAAAGAATTTTGCCTATTTTGGGAAGGTGATTAAAAGTCATATTCTAACTTTTAATTTATTTTAAATTACATCATCTCTTATATTTTTTATACATTTTTTCAAAAAAAACAAATAAAAAAAAATCAACTTTTAATCATATTCTCAAAACAACCTAAAATAGGCTTTTTAGTCTCAGGCTAAAAGTTGTTACATTCAAACCATAATTATTTTATTTTTCCTCTCCCGAAAATCAAAAAAGTCAAAAAATCTATCTTAAACGAGGTTATTTTAGTCCTAAAATAACCAAAAAATCAAAAAGTCAACCCACATCCCAAATGAATCTACAAGTAAACGCTTTTTTTTATATGTACTAGCGGGCGGCACACGTAATGTGTGTGCAATTCAGATAACTAATAATAAAAATAAATAATAAAGAATTTAATATTATAACATATATGTTGTTTAAGTGATAAATATATTTTTTAATGAAATCTAAGGTCTTGAGTTCAAAACTTGCTTACGCTATGTATAATAATTTTTTTATTTTAGCATATATAAAGTTGTCACGTGATATGAGAATAAGAAGATTTTACTAAACTAATTTAAACTTTCATTTAATAATAATATAGATATATTTAATTTTTGGAGGGCACACAAACAATATTCGCGGGCTTGTTTTGTTCCACCCATTGACAGGCACACGCGGTATATGTGCAATTTAGATAACTAATAATAAAAATAAATAATAAAGAATTTAATATCATAATATGTATGTTATTTAAGTGATAAATACATTCTTAATGAAAAACTCAAGGTCTTGAGTTCAAAACTTACTTACGCTGTATATAATAATTTATTTATTTTTATTTTAGCATATATAAAGTTATCACGTGACATGAAAGGAAGAATGTTTCACAAGGAAGAATGTTTCACTAAATCAATTTGAGCATTCATTTATTATATAGATATATTTAATTTTTAAAAAAAATATTATAAATCTCAAATAATTTACTAAATTTTCTATCAAATACCACAAATTGTTATAGACCCACACCTAGCATAACTCTAATTTTTTTGGGGCACATAAACAATAAAATATTCGGCCGCTTGTTTTGTTCCACCCATTGGCATTTGTAAACCAAGTGATTATAAAATACAGACATAGTGATTATAAATACAGACATACGATGGATTATGAAAGAGACTTCTAAATTTATTCCGAAATAAATTATATGATGTAAATTTGAAATTAATATAATGTTGGTCTTATTTAAAATAATTGTGATTTATATTTTGTTTTTGTAAATATTAGTAATTTTTAAAATTTGTGACATTGTTGTTATAAATACATAGACTCGAGCTTCGATTAGTCCTAAATCGGAATGTATTGTTTGGACTCGTAATTTTTTTATAGTGTCTTTCGTATATATTATTTATTTATAAAATTAATGATTCAATAACTATAATTTATTATGTTTATTTCTTAAAAAATAAAAATGACAAATATATATATATATATATATATATATATATTTGTTGGTGAGCTTGGAGTTCATAAAATCTCTTTGAAAGGAAGTTATTGATTGGTCCTACAATACACCTGACCTTGGAGTTCGTAAAATCTCTATGGAGAGAAGTTGTTGGTTGGTTCTAGGGCACCATTAAGTGATGCCCAATGATGTTATAATTGGTATAAGAGTAAGACTTACAATATTATATTAAATGATTGAAAAATATAAAAAAATATAAAAATTTATGTTTGATGGAAAGTACCGCTATGTGATGGCTCATGAGCACCAAATAATTTTCCCTCTTTGGAACAGGTTGCAATTTTTTTGGCCAAATGTAAATTTGTACATACAAATTTATAGGAGTTGAGTTGTTATATATAGGATCTAGCTTGTCTCAGGTTGAGATCAATATTGGATTCATCTACTTCGGTTCATAGGTATTTTTTGGTCTTATTTTGATAATCTGAATCGTTGAATATGTATAACTCGTCGAATACTATATTCTTATAAAAAATCACGTTGATTGGATATCAATAGCTATTTGATCGGCTCCGAATTTTGTCAACCGTTTTTTTTTTTCACCATTCATTTTTTAAATACAAATCTAATCCGATCAAACAGCTATCGATATCCAATCAACGTGATTTTTTATAGAGATATAATAGTCAACGAATTCTACATATTGAACGGTTCAGATTATCGAAAAATGGTTCAAAAATGAGTCTATAGATCGGACTGGACGAGTCTAATCTTAATCTCAACGTAAGACAAGCTGAGCCCTTATATACATATATATTTATTTATTTATCAGTGAAAGTGAGTTAAATAATATCTATAGGAGCCAGCCTCTCCACCTATGCAAAGTGATTCTTTTAATTCAACTAACAAAATTGAACCTATAACCTTGGCTCCGTTTGGCAATGAGATTTGGGGTTATTTTAGTCACAAAAAATAAAATAGGCTATTTTAGTCGTAACAAACAAAACATCACATCCAACCCATAATCTTTACACTATTCTCTCACAAAAAAGTCAAAAAAACTAAAAAGTCCTTCCCAAACCAAGCTTTTTAGCCTAGGCTAAAATAATCAAAAAAGTCAAAAAGTCAACCCACTTCCCAAACGGATGCTAAGAGGTTGTTTGGCAAATGGGTTTGGCTAGTTTATAAAAAAATAAAATAAGTTCAAAAGATAAAATAAGATAAAATCTCATATTAAAATTATAATTATTTAAATTATTCTCTCATAAATATCACATTCAAACCAAAAACACTAAACGTTTATCCCAAAACAAAGCCTAAGCCAAGCTTAGTTGGTTAGAGTTGAGTTTCTCTTAAATTTAAATATAATTATGAGAGAACTTGATAGGCTTGTAGGGTTCATCATGGATTATGTTTTGATGATTCGAACAATTTACTTTATAAAACTTTTAATGTATATCATTAGTACAAAAAATTAGATAAATCTGATAATCATAATATTTATTATTTTATGACATTTGTCTCTTAAAAAAACAGAAGTTTATTTTTTTAAAAAACAAATATAATAAAATAAAAATATTATAATTATCATACTTAATTTTATGTATAAATAATATACACAAAAAAATTTATAAATTAAATTATTAAAATGAGACTTGTAATAAGCACTATCAGCTCGTTGATTGCTCTCAAGCTCATATTTAGACCTCGTTTAGGAACAAGCTATTTTAGTAATTTTTTTACTTTTTGACTAAAATATGAGGTACAAAAATTAATATGTTTTGAATGATTTTTTTATTTTTTTTATAAAAAGTTATGCAAAACGTATAGAGAAAATTAAAATTTTAACTTTTTAATATAAATTATAAATTTTTTGACTTTTTTATATAAATTATAATTTTTTTAATTTTTTTTAATTTTAAATTAAAACAGACATATGCCAAGCGAGCAAGCGAGGCCTTAAGCGCAAGAAAATCTCAACCAATTTGTACATATTGATTAATAATTGGAGGGGTTTGAATGCAATTAATACTTAAATATATTACTCTATGTTGTGTGTAGTCGTACTCTTTGGATAGAATACTCTCAGAGGATTTTTTTAACAAAAATGATTTAGACCACTAAAAAAGAACCTCTAATGCATCTTTAATTTGTCTTTTTTTTCCCTCTTTTTTGTCTTTTACTTCACTGTTTTTTTTTTTTTTATTTTTATATAGGTGACAGCTCATTAGAGCTGCACTTTTGCAGCTCTAATTAGAGCTCCGGAGCATGACCCTTTTTTTAATCTCTTTTAAATTATATTACTGCTTTATTTTTTTATATATATTTTTTAAAAAATTAAAAAATAAAAAATTTAGCTTTTAAAATATTTTTCAAAACAATTATACGTGTCTATATTTTTTGATCAATTATTATTTATCATGTCTTTCATATTTTTTAATAACCTAACACAATATTTCACCTATTCTGTTTTCTTTACCAATCATAATACCATAAAATATCATGTGTCCGTACTATAGACTACTGAATAGTGTTGCTATTAGTATCCCATCAATTAGTTTGGATCTTCCATTTTTTAGTTTTTTTTTTTATATTACAATAATAATCTTAAATGAAATTATTAAAAAGGACGTTTAATTTTGAAATATCCCATTTCACAATTAAACTCACATATCTATTTCATCCTGAGTTAGGGTTTAGTCTTCGTTTGGAAAGTGGGTTGATTTTTTTACTATTTTAGCCTGGGCTAAAAAGCTTGGTTTGGAAATGATTTTTTGACTTTTTTGACTTTTTTTATGAGAGAAGCGTATAATGATTATGGGTTGGATGTGATGTTTTGTTTGTTGTGACTAAAATAGCCTATTTTGTCTTTTGTGGCTAAAATAGTCAAAAAAGCTCTTGCCAAACAAAGCAGAGTACCCACTTCCATCACCATCTATCCATATTTCCCAAATCTCACATTCAAAACCTACCCACCTTCAAAACTTTGAAAACCCTTTGGCGGCAAAATTCTGGTGGTAGCGGCGACAACTATTTGATTATCTACACTTCTTAAGCAATAACAATGAGTGGAAGTTTTTTTTGACAATCACAACTCTGTAAGACGAGAGGAGTACAACAATAAAAACTCAGAGGAGATTCGTACCTTTGATAGCATTCTTAACTCAGAGGAGATTGATTTTATAAGGGTAAGTTTCTTAGAAAAAACATGACAAAAATAACAAAAACTATTCGTTATTTTTTCGGGACTGAACTCTCAAACACATGATCAAAATTCGAGAATATAGGCCCGAACATTGTTCATTTGTTCGGGAATAAGTAATCTAACATTTTTTATTTGTTCGGGAATAGATAATCGAAACTCGTAGAGATCACATAACCTACAAAAGGGAAATTTGGAATCAACAACACAAAATCCTACATTTATTTTCTAATGTCATGAACAAGTATATGAAGATGAAATAATAATCACCTTCATGAGTTTTGTTAGGATTTTTGAGAGAGAGATTTTTTAGAGTGTGCATTAAATTGAATGGATAAAATATTTTTATAATGATAATTTTAATATTATTTAGGAGAAGAGAAGTTTTTTTAAGAATTTTAAAATTTATAGATGAGAGTCTAAAAAAATAAAATGTCCAAAACAATTGATGGGTACTGTCACCCTAAATAATCACCCTACTTTGTTTGGACACCCAATAAATATCTAAAAAAATTTTTGCCATTGGGAGGTCTCTCTCTCTCTCTCTCTCTCTAGCTGCCGTCCTCTGCCACAACTCAGCCCTCACCACCACCATCGTCACCACCAATAGTAAGACTTTCTCTCTCCTCAATTCATTGCTCTTTTTCTTCTTATTCTACTCTGTGACGGTACTCTCAATTTAAACCCAACCCCTCTCTCTGTCTCTCTCTCTGTCTCTCTCTCTCTCTCTCTTGCTTCGTTTGTCAGATTGAAATTGAATGAATGAATGATGATTACAATCCTCAATTTCTCGATTGGTCGTTGAGTTCCGAGGAAGACGAGTCTCTGTTTTTCAACAATTTCTTCAAAAAACCCCCCTTCATCTCATCATTTCACGTTCTTTCCTCTGCTTTCAAGCCCCAGTAAGAGGTAAAACACAAGATAAAGTTTGATTCTTTGACTGAATTTTCAATTTTTGATCGTTAATTCCAGCTGATTTCTCTTCGGATTATATGTATCTTTTGATTATGATGTTCTACTGTTCTTTGCCATAAATTAAATTTGTTCATGAACCATACAGAGACATGTTTTTGTACATAACGTTATGTTGAAATCTGATTGTGGGTCTTTCAAAATTTATCTGTTTTTGTACTTGTTTTTTTTTTTTTTTTAATTCTTTACCAGTTTATGAAATTTGTATGTAATACTTAGTAATTTTGAAAGACACATCAGTGTGTGTATTGGTAATCTTCTTGTCCTTCATCAAAATGAATTGAAGCTTTAATTAGGGCCTTTAACCCCTTTTATGTTTTTTTTTTTTTTTTTTTTATTTTTTATTTTCTATATTCAAAATTAAATGAATAGATAAATTTTATTCCCAAATTACGATAAAGCGTGATTAGCAATCATTTGAATTTTAACCATTTTTTTTTTCCCTAGGGTTTACATCGAAGTAAAAAAACAATTAGCAATGTTTTCCGGAAAAAAACACATTGATGTCTATAGACTATTTGTTTAATTTTGAATAAAAACAAGTGTAAAGGTCCCGTTAATCATGTCCCTTTCATTGGCTTCTTGGACAATAAAAATCTCCTGAATCTCAATATGAAGTTTAATTTTTCTGTATTGTTGTTATCATTGTTTTTGAATTTTTTGGGTATTCCTAGGAAACTGCTTTCAACATGTATCACGCCAAGAAATTTTCAACTGCAAGCTTAGTGCCACATAAATCTCCAGCCCCTGAACAACTTGCATTAGTTGGAGTTTTGGGTGGATCTGCAGCTAGAAGTACTGCTCCTGCAGGGGGAGGTGGGGGGAAGCAACGGTTGCGGTGGACTTCAGATCTTCATGATCGCTTCGTAGACGCTATTACTCAACTTGGCGGACCAGATAGTGGGTATTTTATTCTCAGTAAAAAAATTAAATATTGGAATGATATTTTAATTATCGTTTTTTTTTCCTACATATTTTTGGCTAATACAGTTGACATGTGAGAAGTTTCTTGTTTGTTTTCCTGACTGGTAAATATGGATTAATTTTTGCATCAAATCTAAGGTTTATTCTATGAAGTATGAACTTAAAAAATAGAGTTTTAAGTATGAACTTAAAGGACGCCTAATTCATGCTTGGCAGTTGGGCTCACGGATTGCTAATTCACTGTGGACTACTGCACCGGGGATGAAATATTCATGGGTTTGATTTTCCCAAATGTGGTTTTTATAACAGATTGTAGGATTCAGTGTTATGTTCTCTGAAAAATGAAAGATACCAAGTCTTGTGTTAATTCTTCTTTGTTTCTTTTTCTTTTTCTTTTAAGCCTTTATACATATTCATTGGTTCATTAGTAACATACAGATATAGAAGCACTTTAACACCAATATGTATGCAAGATCTGTATGAAAATTTAGTATTTCAATCTACTAAACTAACTTGAAGACCAAGACATTGAATAATGATGTTTTGGGGGATAATTCAATATAGGCTTAAATTTACATATAGCTTTGCACTAGCCTTGCTCTCTGGTTGTGGTGTCATAACACATTTATATTCTAGTTACAATAAGTTGTTATGTTTTCTTACCGTATGTGTGCCGATGAAAGTTAAAAATGTTCTGGTAATTTTAATCACAGCACACAAATTTTAGAAGTTCTGCTGATTGAGCCTCACTCTCACAATTAGTTATAAATTATAATAATAACAAGAATAAGAAACATCTATAATAACATCTACTTTTGTCACCTTACATAATAACATCTATATTTGAGCCAGGATTCAGTACCAAGTTAAATTTGTTCAATGGCTTTAATTAATTTTTCTTTTTGACTGACTTTTAAATGATGAAGATTTAGTTTATATGTATATATGGATGGCAATATATGTAGATATATAGATCGCGGCTTCTGTCCTTCATATCTGAATGGATTAGCTGCAACGAACTTAGCTGATTCATATTTGAATGGATTAGCTGCAATGAACTTAGCTGATTCTTTTGGATTTATATCATATTTATGGCCTCTTTCGGTCGTTTCCATTTTTGCTTCAGGAGCAACACCTAAAGGTGTTTTACGAGTGATGGGTGAACCTGGACTTACCATATATCACGTGAAAAGCCATTTACAGGTTTGGTCATTCCTATATGTGTTTGTCTTGTTCATGAACAGCTTTGGAAACTGATTGTGATTTGCCTTCTTCATTTACATATAGAAATATCGCCTTGCAAAGTACCTGCCAGAGTCGCCAGCTGATGGTAATGCGTCCTACACCTCTCCCAGTTCAGTTGTAATTGTGTGTGTGTGTAGTATTTTGTTTTTACTTTTTGAGAATTGAAATTAGTAGTTGTTAAAACATTGTTAATGTTAGGTTCTAAAGATCAGAAGAAAGGTTCTGGAGACAGCCTAAATAGCTTGGATTCTTCCCAGTGGGTTTCTGTCCTCTTTCAAAATATTTTGCACACAGCTCTTTATATAATCTGATAATTGTGTAACTCTTTACAAAATTATTCAGGGGAGTGCAAATTAATGATGCGCTGAGGATGCAGATGGAGGTACAGAAGCGTCTTCATGAACAACTTGAGGTTTGATCTCATGCTTGCATTGCTTTTAGCTGCTTATAATTCTGAAATGGAGATGATATGGTCTGTGAACTTTTCGATTGGTTGTTATTGCTGTTTGTCTCTTACAAATTATATTTAGTCCTCATAGCTGTAACATGGACTGTGGATATATGTATCGGGTACCAGTGTGTGTGTCTAGATGTTGGACCTCCCGAAACCCAAAATCTTTGGATATGGGGATATGTGTCCAAAAGTTGTGTTTGGGTACGTGAACAAATCTTAGGATATGAGGATATTGTCGAGTCTTGCCAGTATGCTTTGAATCAAAGGAGAAGGGTTTTTATCTAGTGTGTAGCTGCAAGCTGAAGAGCCCAGGAATCGGGAGATTGCCTGAACATTGAAGGGAGAAACTAGAAGGGATGGAAGATGATAGATGGGAAGGATGTGAGGGAATTGTGGGTTCAGTTGGGAAGGTTGTTGCTTGCTAGGGGCAATATATTTCAGATTTGGTAGTATGGCTGGGGGAAACCTACTACTGTGCTTAAAAAGAGGAAAGAGGTTGGAGGAAGAAGTGTCACAGTGGGTTATGAAGAAGGTTAAAGGTTTAAGCAACTTTGCTGGGATTCCTTGCCAAGAGTTTGAGAATGATGCTTTGGAGCTGATAAAAGGCATTGAAGCGAATTAGAGGTCTGTATTGGATGAAAATCTGGCAAGGAGGGTCAGGAGAAGCACAAGAAGATGTGCAAGGGAGTTAAAGAGTGGGAAAAAGGGAGCAGTGAGAGGTCGAGGGGCTAGGTTGTCTGTGTACTTCATTTTGGGTTACAGATGAGCAACATTTTTGTTGTTTCATTTTCCATTTTTTTTAATGGTCTCCGTTGTGATGTTAACTGAGGTGGGATATTTTTTTTGTGTGTGTGTACTAGGGTAGGGTGGTGGCCCCTTGGAATTTTCTCTAATATTACTTTCAAAAAAGGTACTACGAAAATTTTTGGTGTTTTGAAATAACTTCTCCAATGGACTAGTGTGAAGGAGAATGCTTTTGATTACCAGATGTTGACATTTTTTTAACAAACTTTTTCAGAAAATGTTTCATGTATAAAATGTTTTTCTATGTTTAATTGCAACCTTGTAACTAATGTATTGTGGCAGTCGTCGAGGAGGTGGTAGTGTAGGTAGTGCTAGTCATGGTGGGGTGATGGAGGTGGTGGTGGTGGTAGTTGGGTGGTAGTGTGTTACATTGGTAAATTTTAGTCTGAAAAATATTTCCCACCTTTCAAAATAGAAAACATTTTTCATCAAGTAATTTTATTTTTTGTTGACCACGGAAAACGCTTTTTGTTTGACTTATGTTTTCCATCATACAAAATGGAAGAAAATGCAAAAAATTGTTTTTTACGTAACCGCTGCCTTTATTTTTAACTGGCATTAAACCGTTAAACAGAATTCTTGGGCTGTCTACATGTCTGATACTATAATACTTGTTGATATTTCAGGTACAAAGACAGTTACAAATGAGGATAGAGGCTCAGGGGAAATACTTGCAGAAGATAATTGAGGAACAGCAAAAACTAAGTGGTGTTCTGAAAGCCTCCGAGACAGTTCCATTACCCAAGGATCAGCCGCTAGCTCCATCTCATTCACACCCACCTCCCCCTCCCAATGCCTCCATGAGTTCCTTCTCTCCTCATAAGAAGCAAAAACTGGATGACGGGTCCACAGAAGGCGGCCTGCCTGACTTTGTCCCACCAGAAGAGGACTAGAATCTTGGGCGTGTCAATCAACAGTCCATATATGCTGATGATGAAATTGTGTTTGGATTAAATATGTCAAAAGAGTTGAAAGGATAGGAGGATGATTGTAATGGGTATAGATGGTTTTCTTGGGATGATTGTTAATGTAGTGATAAACCCGTTTTTCATATAGATCATGTACTGGTAATCCATTTGTAATTATAATTAAACACGTATGTAGTGGTTATTCCTATTGTTGTTGGTAGTCTATTGGTTACATTTGTTGGAAAATAGAGTTAAGGGTTTGAGAGAAAGGGTTGTCGCTATTCAAATTAGCTTATGAGGCCAAGCAGTCACAGATTTTGTGAATGAATGTTGGGTTCGGCCACCTTAAATGGCATGAACTGCATGCAGGATTTGGGTTCGATTTAGTTCTTAGGATTAAGCTGTGGGATGAACCTAACCAACCTAGATTTAAAATGTGAACCAATGTATGATGATTATTATCATTTCAATATTATAATCGTTTTGAATATATGTATTGTTTATAGAATATTGTTGATAATACTATTATAAATTGCTTATGCAGAAATAAATTTTTTTAAATTGAATTTTGATAAAATTTTATTTAAAATTGATTATATAACGAGAAAAATTAAGTGAATCAGTAAAATCATTAATTAAAAAATATATTTTAAAATATTAAATAAATTTAATTAATGCTTTTAATGTTTGCTTTTTATTTTCCTTTTGTTTGGATACTTGTAACAAAAAATTGTTTTGCATATTATTTTTGTTTTCATAAAAGTAAAATTGATTTCAAAATGTTTAAAACTTTTTGGGAAAAAACAAAGAAGATGTATATATTTTTTTGTTTTCAAATTAAGTTGTCACACTTTTCTTCTCTCACATCGCTTCCAGTTACCACTAATCAATCTTCTCTCAACATTTATAGACCTTTCGATACTTTCCAATAAACTCAAATTAGTTTTTTTTAATTATCTTTTATGATTTTTGATAATCTTCACGATAATTCTCTTATGACATCTGACAATACTCCAATCACTACTTCCAGCACGGCACTCATATTTAATCACTCTCTATTTTCTGAGTAATGCTATGTATCATGAAAATGATCTTGAAAGATTTTTCACTATTAAATTATACATAAAAAAAATTTATAAAATATTTTATGATTTTTTTTCATGATTTCTAATATTATTCTTTCTTATAATTCATCAAATATATTTATTATTTTTGTTAGTATTTTTTATCAAAATATAATTTTCATCCTGTTACGAATATTTTATTATTAAAATCAGAAAGAAAAAAAAAATTGGCATCGCAGATCTATACAATATATATAAGAATAATGTTTGGGACCTCCTTTTGGGGGTCACCCCTCACCCCTCCTTTGCCACGTGACAGGGGTGATTGGAGGAGCAGGAAAAAAAAGAAAAAGAAAAAGAAAAGGTAACCAATGAGAGAGAGAGGAGGGTTCAAAGGCGTAAGGAAAAAGGGAATGAATCATTACTCTATATATAAACCACGGATGCAAAGTAAACAGTAATTTCAGCCAAACATGAACATATTTTTTGAATAGTTGAAAAGTCGGCCTTATGCATATAGGTTTTCTTCTTTGGATGCAAGGCTATTCATGGAAAACTAACTTCAAATTCCTTACAGCTGTTTATCAAAGGATCCATAGTATACGCCGCTCTCTCCCTCGTTTGTTTGCTTCTCTCCCTCACGAAAAACCCCTCTCTCTTCTCGGGTCGTCTCTTCCCTGTTTCCATTCGTGGAGATCGAAGTCGCAAGGATTGAAGAGACCAGGTATGGCTCTTAAAACCTAAAATTTTCTCCTATTTGCTCCGAATCTATGGTTTCTCTCTCTCTGATTTCTCTGTCCGTTCTTTTGCTCTTTATCATCTCTCACTTTCGTCTCTTGATTTTGAAGGGTTCTTCGAGAGCTCTGTCTTCTGTAGTAGCTTATTGGTTCGAAAGAGTTCTCATTGAAGAGGTATGGCTTGAAATCCCTAAAACCCTGATTTTTATTAGTATGAAATTGTGATTTTGGAGACCATCATATAAATTTTCCTTGAGTTGTTGTTTATGTGGTCTTCTCTTTTTAGTATTTTCTATGCACATACATACCAGCAAGCTTTTTCATTCATTTATCTATTTTGCTGTGAAAAGATTGCAAAATTCAATTGGGTCAAACTTTTTCACCTTTAAAAACCCTCAAACAGAGGGCTTAATGTTCTTGATTTCAAATGGGGTTTGAATTTTTCTTGATTTCAAATGAATCGCTCCAAATGCAGTTTGGATTTTTCAAGAGATGTGGAAGAGAAAAGAGAAGAAGAAAAATAGAGAGGTGAGTGATGGCCGGTAAAGAGTGTGGAAAGAAAAAAGAGTAGAGAAAGAAGAAAAATATATAGGTATGTGATGGTCTGTAGAGAAAGATAGAGTAGAGAGAGAAGATCAGAATGTAAAATAGAGACTGTGGATCATAGTGATCAATTGATGGGTGAAATGAATACCAGTGAAAGTAGAGAAGATTTTTTGGCCAATGGTTTTCTTTGCCTCATTAGGTGTCTTTTGTGAAATGGGTTTGCAAAAAGTTGCCATACTTTTTTTAAAAAATTTATTACTAATTTTATTCCTTTGATTAAATTGAAAAATATATCATTCGTGTGAAAAATTCAATAAACCTCAACAATTTCTTAAGATCACTTTTAAACGTCAATTTGAATGGTTAAAGGTCCAATCTTTTCTCTTCATTGCTTTTTTTTCTTTTGTTCCCCTAGGTTTGGAAATGACTTTTGTTTGAGTTTCATTCATAAAAGAGAATTATAACACATTAGTATGAATCATGTTTTAATTTGATTAGGGCTCAGTGCCTTGGGCCACTATGGAGGGTTAAATAGAAATGTGAGGAAAACTACACATAGCCGTTGGAGTCTTGGCCAATGGTTTGCTTCATATTTAGTGGTTTCATAATTCTTTGTGATGTGAGTTTGTAATAAGTTTTATAATTTCCTCTATTATCTTTAGTAGATTTTGTTACTTGCTTCATTTTTTTTTTTTTTTTCATTTGTGTATGTAGATAATGTGTATTTTTTGTTAACAATTGTGAAGTCTCCTAACAATATATATAATACAGTCCTTCAATTTCCCTTGTTGTTTGTTTAGTTGAACTTGAGGCTTAATATTACTACCTTTTGCATGTTAGGTGTTCATATAACAGAGGAATACACTATTCTTCATTCATAATTATTATTATGAACAAGTCTGAGATTTTTTTTTCCAGTACACTAAAAAAATTCATTTTGAAAAGAATTCTTCAAATTATCATCTTTAATATCCAATATTAATCTCAATTCTTTTGTAAATTTATTCTCATGTACAAGAGCCAAAAATGGGCAGGAACCTTCTCTGTGATAAATGATTCAACATTTGATACTCAATTCATTTGACATTGCATACTTTGCATGGTTGTTTATTTAATGAGATTAAAGACCTCTTATTGAAATGTACATTCTTTGCATTATATGGTGGCTTTTGTTGCTTTTGTTAGTTTGAATGGAAGTGTTGTTGCTAACAACCATTTTCACTTTTATTGTTTCATTTCATTTTTATTTCATAATTCTTTTTCTTTGTTTTTAATAAAAGTAAATTAGTAATGTGAGATTTATTTCTTGTCCTTCCTCCTGATACTAGAAGTGCAAAAGAAGCTTATGCAGTTTCTAGATTTTTTTTTTAATCGGTAAAAATAAAATATATTGATGTCAAACAAAGGTACAAGGTGTACAAATGAATACGTCAGTGGAGACAAAAGGCCAAGGCTAAAGCAACAAAAAAGGGAACAAATCCCAATCAAAATTGGGAGCAACAGCAAACAAGAACCAAAACAAAGCCAAATAACGCAAGTAGCAAATATTGCAAACAAAACACCAGCAGCAATTGATGCGGAAAAAATTCCCAAATCCTTGCTGCACTCAACCAAAAAAACTCCAATGTTTAAAAGATTTCTACAATGCTTCCCATAGCATAACAGAGCACACCCATAATCTTGTTTCAAAACCGAACACCTATCACTTAGGCTGTGTTGATCATGAATTTAGGTAGAGATTTGGAAAGGAAAGCGAAAATGTAGATAAAATGTGAATGAAATATAGTTACATTTCACTCACCTTTCCCTTTTCATTTTCCCTTTCCCTTTTCCTTTTCAAATCCTTACCCAAATCCATGCTCCAAACACAACATTAAGGTAACAGGTTTGAAAAGTCGTCTTCTTCCTATACAAAAAAAGCTCTTCTAAAATTAAGTTGCGAAGAACCATTATGATCACTTGGGCGGAGAAGATTAGCCACATTTCCATCCTTATTATCTGAAAGTTTATGCAACTAGGGTCTCTCATCAAGCCATTTGGCCTTCCAGAAATTAATATTCTTGCCATCCCCCAACTTTAGACTCAAATTTTCCCTGAAGAGTTGGAACTTGTCAAAAAATTTCGATTGGATAGAAAAAACTCCTTTCACATGTTGTAAAAGATCTATTTTTAGGCAAAGGTTCTAACCGATTAATTAGATCATTGGAATTATTGTACCTGTACTTTGTAGTCCAGTGTGATCATTAAACCTAACCTAAAACATCACTTGCATTCATGCACTCAAAATCTATTTCAAATAATAAAGAAAACACTACTATGATAGAATCCAACATTGCTTTTGCTTCTTGTTAATCTAGAACTGATGTTGTAGAATGACCATCTGTGATCTAATTTAGTGAATGCAAGTTGCTAAAAACATCTAATAGCAAACTAGACCTTATTATCAAAAGCTAATTATCAAATATGAAAGGCTTAAAAAACTAAGCTTGTGGGTTTGGTCTAGCTTTTAGATGTGAAATTCCCTCGCTATGTAATTTGCACCATCTTGTTGATTAATTTTCTCTTTGAACTTTGAATGATTTAATTTGCATGCATGCGCTACGTTCGAACTGCATAAAACACAATGATTTGAATCTAACCCTCGTAAGAATTTGCTTGTAGTTCTCTATTTCCTTCTTTTCAAGTAGATGATTAGCTACTTATCTTATCTCCAATCCATGCAAATAAGGATGTTTGATAATAGTTATTATGGTCTACCTTTGTATTGTTTTTTTATTTTATTTTTTTGTCCCCCCATTAAACTATTAAATAAGAAGGGCTGATAACCTTTCTATTATTGTTTTTAATTTTTTTTTTTTTTATGCTTTAAGCAAGTAGAATAAAAGTTTTGCAAACCAATCATGTTTGATTATTCACATGATCCTGATCCATTTGGTATACATTTAGATTGAAGGAGTTGATGGGATCTAAAAGGTAGTATTTGATTTGAAATGCTAAATTATGAAAACTAGATATTTCTTTCTAACAAATATAATGCAGAGCAACTCTGGCTGAGGATTTAATAGAAAATTCAGTTCATGGAGGAGATGATGTGGTATGTCTCACAGCATTACATACAAGCATGGTTTGGCTCATCTTACTCATAATATACCAAGTAAAAGTGGGTTCACAATTGATGAGGGATTTCAAGTCCTGCCATTAAGGATGATTGAGTACTTGTTCATTTGTCAAATAGAGAAAACAATTGCTTTATTTTTATTACATCATATTTTTAGTAATGACAATTTTGTTGGGAAAATAGATCTTGTAATAGGTATTTTATTTTTTATTTTTGTATAAGTAATAGTTTTTGTTAAAAACTTTGTATTGTTGAGTCGATCTTATATTCATGATTCAGTTGCTAATTTTGTGTGTTTATGCAATAGCTCAAAACTCATTTAAATACACAAATGTAATGGGCACTAACTGGCCATTAGTTAGCGTGCCTTGCACGCGGCCCTTTCACTAGTAATAGTAAAAAGATTAAACGACGTTGTTTTACAAAACATTTTTCCTACTAAATTCCCTCCTACATCATATTTGCTGCCCTAATAAATTCCGACTCTTCTCTCTCTCTCCCCCCATCCCTCGCCGCCGACCGCAGCTACCTGTCGGCTGTAGCCACCGCCGTCGTCCATCTCCGGTAAGACTGCTCGCTGCCCAACTTGACAGTTTTCATCATCTTGTTTAGTGAGAGATTTAGAGATTCTTCTGAGAGTGAAGTTTTAATTTCGTGTTTCAAATACCTAATTAGGGTTTTGATTTTATGCAATTCTAGGGTTTAGCGCTTTTGATTTGTGTGTGTGTTTTTGCATAATCGGATTCTAATCTAGATGAATTAGGGTGAAACATGAAAATAATGCTGATGTTATGTAAAAGTTATTGAGACTTTAGGGTCAGTATATGTTTTAGCGAATTTTATGACTTGTTTGGTGTAGCTTTTTTCTCTCTTTATTTTTGGGGGGTTAATTTTTTCCTTCGGTTATATTTTCTGCAGCATTTTTTGGTGCATTGTACCATTTTCAATCAAGCCCGTGTTTCATGTAATTAAGTATTTTTATAAAAATCACACGCTTGTATGAATTTTACTCATGTTGGGTTGTGTGTATTGTTGTTATTTTGTTGTATTGGATTCGAAGCCTATAATTTTTTTTTGATAGAACATGTCATTTTTGTCGAAACTTGTACAATGTTTGTGTCTTTCTAGTCCCGGGGTAATACTTAAAAGCTCTATGTTTTTCAGTGGTTTTGCAGCAACTAGCGAGTGGAAGTTTCTAATCTGTCAACGCCAATATCTTAACCCTTGTGTGCTTTCCTTATTCTTGAAAATGTCGTCCCTAAGAAATGCTGTTTATAGACGGGCTCACAAGGAACGATCTCAGCCGTGAGTGACTGCATTTCAAGTTGCAAATGTCTTCCTTTTTTTTTTTTCTTTTTTTCTGTTTGGCAAATAACCAATCTCATGTGTTGTCTTGCACTTTATTTCAGACAATCAAGAAAAAAATATGGGCTTCTCGAGAAACACAAGGATTATGTTGTGCGTGCGAAGGCATTTCACAAAAAAGAGGATGCTTTGCGTGTAACTTTAATTCCTTTCCTGCTGTTAGCCATTATGCCGTCACAAATCATTTTGTCCTGCTACTCAGCATTTGATTCCACTTTAATACATGACTATGCTGTGCCTGTATGCTCACTTTTCAGAAACTCAAAGAGAAAGCAGCATTCAGGAACCCAGATGAATTTTACTTTAAGATGATCAAAACAAAAACGGTGGATGGAGTCCATAAACCGGAGTAATTTTTAAGTTGCATTACTTTGATTTCTTTGCTTAACCCCTTCACATCCAATCCAATCTGATTCATTAGGTTCTGTTACAGGAGTCAAGCTAACAAATACACTCAAGAAGAACTCATGTTAATGAAGACCCAAGATAAAGGATATGTCCTGCAGAAGCTTCAAAGTGAAAAAAATGTAACTGATTTTAACATCTATAAATTGCAAATTTAAGGATTTCAGGGTTCTCCTTTACTGGCTTCTTTGGGTAAAAATTTATTTTTTGTGATACAGAAAATTGAAAAGCTAACAGCCGTGCTACAGTCTCTTGATAATCAACCGTCAACCAGACACATTTTTTATGCTGAAGACAGGTGTGAGCTTTTTGCTGTCTCTATTTATTACCAATTACTTTATCAGCTTATTTGACTTACACTGGAATGAAAAATGGCTAAACTAGAAAGTGTATTTTTTACATAGTATATGATCATCTTTGGAACTGTTTGTTGTATTTGATCTAAAAAATCCAACCTGGAAACTCTATCTCCCTGAGAAAACAATGTTGTCTCAGAAAATATAATGTTTGTCCCATTTGTCTTATTTTAAAAATTTTTAACAAGAAGAACTTAAATTATGAGTGATATTCACCTAAAGAAAAAGATGGAAGCTTAAGTGTTTTGTGGTCATATAACTACACTGTTTGTTATATCATGAGAAAATAGCATGTGATTGGGAAAACACCAAATGCATGATTATATGAGTCATCACTAAATAAACATTACTGTTTGTTATCACCACATTAGTAACATAAAGACATTGAATGATCAACTGTTGCATTTGAATTTTTCCATCTTCGACTTCGTATTGTATTGTTTTACATTGAGTATTTATGGGCTTAATGTTGACTTCCAGGAAGTTTATTTTTTTGCAGTAGTTGCTTAAAACTGCTGCTAGAACTCCCAGATTTTTAGCAATAATCGGCAGAAACAACTGCCGGCACCTATTGTAGCAAGTCTGCAGCCCAACATTTGGTTCTAGATGATGCTCTTGAATCCAATGGGATTTGTTAGCTTTGAATTAGCATGATAAATTTGTCAGCTCAAAGTGTAGTTCTAGATTTTGTTAGCTTCAAATTGGCATGATAAATTTGTTAGCTCAATATGTAGTAGTTCTAGATTTGTTAGCTTCATGGCTTTGAATTATGGATGAAGGTTATATGAGATTTTTATGAATTTGTAAGGACTTAGGTTTTAGTTTAACTTATTTAAGTAAAGGATAATATTGGAAACTGTTAAAACCTACCATCACCTACTCCACCTATTACACCTACCACCACCTACTACCACCTACTACACACCTACCACCACCACCTACTACCACCTACTCCACTACATCTCCTATATAAGGAGCCCCTCACCATTTGTAATAGATAATATACAACAATCAATAATACATACAATTTATTCTCTCTATCAATTTATTTTTACATGGTATCAGAGCAGGTTTAGAACCTAGTATTTTCGCTTCACCGGCGGGCGGCAACCTCACCTTAGCCGTCCGCCGGACCTCAACCTAGTCCGCTAGAATTTTCTACACATACCTTCACTCTTCTTCACCACCTCGCCGAAGCAAACCCAAAATCCCTCTAGGACATTTCGTCGAACACCATGTCTGCAACAATGATGGGCTACACCATTTCCTGATGTTGTTTATAATGTTGGCATTTTCTGTGCTATTTGACTCTGTAAAAGCTCCTGGTCTTGGGCTGGGTGCAAGATACATATTCACCATGGCGATTGGGCGCCTTCTTCGGGCCATAACTTTTGTGTCTACGATTCTACCATCAGCTCGGCCTTGGTGTGCATCAGCTCGGTTCAGAGTCCCTGCATACCCTCATCGTTGGGCTCAAAAATATTATGTACCTTTTGTTTCTGATGCCAACGCTATACGCCAGCTTATCCATCTTGATAGAGCTTTTGATGAAGTTGCAAATTTCATTGAAGATTCCCGTCCAGATTGGGGATCAATGAACTTCTTAATTGATTTCTTGCGACCCAATGCTTTCGAAGGATCTTCGTGGTATCATCTTCTGAAAAAGGCTGGAGGCGGCTGCAACGACCTCCTATACAGTGGCCATATGCTCGTAGCAGTACTCACAGCTATGGCATGGACGACAGCTTATGGAGGTTTTAGCTCAGTTCTGATATGGCTACTAGTAATGCACAGTGCCCAGAGAGAAGTACGGGAACACCACCATTACAGTGTGGACTGTGTCGTGGCCATCACTGGTCAAGTCCCCAGGCGCATCCCTTTCTCTCCACCAGACACCAACTTTTGTCCCCCTCTTTTCGTTTCTTTTTATTTTAATATTATCCACCCTCTCTTCTTTTATTTCAACATAAAACCCTCTCTCCACTCATTCATTTTATTATTATTATTATGCACAAACTCAGACTCCAACATCCCTGTGCTCCTTCATGGGTCCGACAAGACTCTGTAAACTGTCCCGACATTGATTCCGGTTAGCTCCTTCATGGGTCCGACAAGACTCAGTAAACTGTCCCGACATTGATTCCGGTTAGCTCCTTCATGGGTCCGACAAGACCCTTTTTATCCACCCTTTCACCCACTCACTTCTTTTTCTTATGAGGCAAAACATTTTTAATATTTTTCCTCCACCCACTCTCTCTCTCTCATCCTTTTTTTGAAAACACACTTTATTCCTCTCAATGTGCTGTTGCCAGCACCCATTATAGAATATATATCTATTCTAAAAATAAAAATAACAAAAACAAAAAGAACAAAAAAAAAAAAAAAACAAAAAAAAAAACAACAAAAAAATGCATAGCTAACCAAAAAAAAAAAAAAAAAAAAAAAAAAAAAACAAAAACAAAAACAACAAAAAAAAAACGCAGAAGAAGAAGACGAACTGCACACCAAACTCATTTTAGTCATATCAGGGGATCAACCCCGATCACAATTTTACAATAAAAAATAAAAATAAAAATAAAAAAAACCAAAACAAAACACCCACATCCACAGGCAGGATTTTCTTCTCTACTCTGCCGCCGGTCTCTTCTTCTTGCCTCCGTCCTGGGCGGTCCTTGACGGTGCTGCTTCCGTGTTTCCCACGCCGCCGAGCACGTTCACTCCCCCATACTCCTCCACTGCCGCATATGGCGGACCTCCAAATCGGAACATCACAGTGGCCTTCCGCTTCAGCTCCTTGTTTTCTGCCTTTAGCACACTTATCTCTGCTCGCGCTTCCTTATACATGCGTTGGAGCAGAGCCAGTTGGGCGTTTAACTGCTGCACCTCATTTGTCCTACTCTGAAGCCGGTGCGACAAGTTTGTTACCGCAGTCATGGTTTCCACACATGACTTCAAAGTATACTGATTGGCTTCAATATCCGTTTGAACCGCCATTTTTTGCTCCACAGACCGCATCGGAAAGTTCAACGGAGCAAAACCAGAGGTGTTTGGTTGAGGTTCACTGGCCACCGCACTGGTTATCTCTCTTGTTGACTCGTTGAGGTCGGGAAAGAGAGTGAGTAGACCACGGGACGAAGAGGCCATATTCTGGGTAGCTGAACGGGAAGAAGAGGCCATTGTTCAGATGTTTCAGAATGCAAATATTCAGATATTTCAGAATGAAAATGTTCAGCGGTTTCAGACTGGTTTAACAGAAACTAAAAAAAAATTCTAGTAGGATGCATTAAATGTTTTTTTTTTTTTTTTAAAATGGTTGTCATTAATTACAAGCTAGTTTGTTCAAACATTTGAATAAATTTTTTTTTCTTGAATTGCTGGGCACTTGTTTGCAAGACCCCAATGCTTAATATTATTCGTTCAGAATGCAATTTGGTTGGAAGATGCCATCATGTCTATTTTGCAAATCCTTCATTTTTCTCATTATAATGACATGTTTGGGATTCTCTGTTTCTGTTTCCTATTATCTTCCAGGGAGGATGCCAAAGAGATGCAGTTGCGAACATCAAAAGTTGGAAAGGTGCCTGTTTTTGAGGATGTGCCTGATCATATTAAAAGGTAGAAATGATTTGTTCAATATGTTATTGGATACTGATCAATTTCATGCTGTGAATTTTGTCATTTAGAAAGTGAACTGTCATTCATGGAGGTGATTATTAAAGCATCTGTTTTGATATTTTTACATTCATAATATTTCATTAAAACTAGGTGAGAAGATAATTTTTTTTCTTCTCTGATTTTGATTGATTTATATTGAATTCAATAATGGATTTGAACTCTACTAGGGATAATGTGGACCACTAATACTCAAAATGGGTTGGTTGTAAAAATTATATTGTTTTCAAATTTTCAGTCTACCATGCTAACCAATGTAGCCATGTATTATGGCCAATGGCCATGGGATTGTTGACATGATCTGCTGTTCATTTTGTAGAGAGAATAGAGAATAAACTGGCGCATGGCTCTCTTTTGTTCCCTTCATATATTTAAAAATATTGTGGTTTCGAGTATTTGCAGGAAAACAGCCGCTTCCTACAGAGAGCTGGAGGCGCGAAAAGGCAGAGTGAATGACTTGGAGAAATTATACATGGATATGGCTATGCAGAAAGAACTACAGGTATATTGACATTTTGGATTTGTCTATTTCTGTCATCCGGCTGTTGGGTTTATACCACAATTACAGATAAATGCATTTACTGGGGCAGAAAAAGGGTCGGAAACGCAAACTTCGTGAAGATGAGATTGTATGTCCAACCTCCAAACCAGTATACAAGTGGCGGCCAGACCGAAAACGATGAAGGTGGCTCCATCTCTCAATGTCTTGTTGGATTTGTTGTTCCCGTCTACTTACTAAATTAGTAATTGAATGTTTCAGAGAATTGGGATATTGTCAATGAGGTGAAGGTACCGTTATGTGGCCTAAAACTGAACAATCAGCTTCGCCTGGTTAGCTGTTGAAGGTGTTTAGATGTGGAGTTTGAGAAATCAAGAACAAAATAACTGTCTGTGGCTCTGATTGCGTGAACAGCTGTTAGGACTATAGAGAGTCCTGTAGCAATTCATAATCTGTAGTTTTTTGTGTCTGGAAATTTTTGATCTTACATTTCAGTTACAGTTACCTGAAATTGTTCTGTCATTTTACTTATTTCTTGGAAAGTTACTTTCGTTATGTTATCTCCTCTCTCTCTCTCATGGAATAAGTTCTTGGAAAGGTGCTGCATTTTCATAATTCATGATTAATTAATGGAAAGTGGAGGAGTCTACATTATTCATGATTAACAAACAGGCTCTTTTTCAGCTTAAATAGTCAAAAAAAATAGCTTTTTCAGTCAGAACCAAAACCAAACAAAGCCTACTCTTTTTTTTTCTCGGTGTCCTGGATTGGAACCTGAATTAAACAGAGTTTGGACTTTGGATCAACATTGTTCATATTAATACATGAATAGCATACATGATATAACCACCAAGATCTTTGTATGTGGTATGTAGCAAAATGATAGACTTAAGCACACTTGGCTTAGTTGAAGAGACTTTCATATTCACTATTTTTCACCAATTGAATTTTCTTTGACTGAAACAAAACAAATAAAACAGTGGACATTGAACTTGACTCAATTTGATGTGGTCTACAATCTTGACAATCTGCCAGCAACATACTCCGCAATTGCCATGCTGGAAGTTAGACCTGGTGATTCAATTCCAAACAAGTTTACAAGGCCGGGTACTCCGTGAATTTCCTCTCCCTGCCAACCAAAAAAAAAAAAAAGCATTTGCAACTGATGTGAACTCGCCAAAAACAATTGTTTACTCCATCCACCAAATAATTGGACAAAAGAAATTAGATTGAAAATAAAGTTCAATCATATTTGCTAGTTTGATTATGTATCAAATAAATATAAAGTAAAATTTTATGTACCAAAAGTTCAAGAAAATAAGATTCCAACTCGTGACAAATTAGGACGGATTTTGTTTCATATTCGTGGCTCCACCAAGGAGAAATTTAATGCTAGAACTTTGGGGGTATGTAACTTTACATAAGAAAACACACTTATGTTTTAACGACTTCATTAGGGGCCTGGGGAGCTTATTATTTTAGAAACAAATCATCACATAATTCAAAGAGTATGTTTGAACTTCGGAGGGCAGGCCGTTATGATCGGTCAATAGACAAAATTCCATTTAAAATATTCCAAAATGCAATGAATAAAACTAGCATTTCCGAGAACATGCAATGTATATATAGATACAAATTCAAGATTTTGAAAGAGGTTGGCAAGCCAACAGAGAATGAAGTTAAGCAGTGACGGAGTGAGCAAGAAATAACCTGTATGACAAAATCAACAGAACCCTGTTTGGGACCAGAAAGTTTGGGTCGAATGCCAGTATATCCAGGCTCCAGAGATCCATCCTTCAGACTAGGGTAGTACTTTCTTATCTCTGGGTAAAATCGGTTTACACGATCTGTGCGTAAGGAGTAATCAAACCTGAATAAAATGAGAAAATAAAAACATTATTTATGAAACGTATTCCAAAAAACAGAACTGCTACTTAGGAAAGCACAGAAAATGTACAAGTCAATGCATGATTCATCGCTTGCTAGTTTGCTGAAACTAAGATAACAAACTACACAAATAAAAGGTTTGCAGGCATAAAGTAGAAGTGAAATTTTTTTCACTCCTAAGTGTTGGAATGTTCTTATTTTTGGTACAAATGGAATTTTTGTAATAGGCATGGTTTAAGTATAAATAAGAGTTACAAGGGAGACAACACTCGTATTCCCTGTTCTTTTTCCTTAAACATCTTCTCCTTTCTCTTTTTCCTCTTCTCCTTCTTTATCCTGTTCTACACATTTCAACATGGTATCAAAGTAATGTATAGATTTTAGAAAACCCTAGAGGAACAGCTTCAGTTAAGACAGCATGTGTGGAATTGTGATTGCTTCCACACCATACGCAAGTTCCATATGCTAGATTTGTTAGAAATTCAAAACAATTAAATAGATAATACTGTTGAAATTTGCACTCAGGCTGTCACATTGGAATTTGAACAAGAAGATCCCATAGGGTGTTCGCTCTCTTCCCCTCGTGTGCAAAGCATCTTGTACAATCAAGTATAAACAATTAACCATGCAAAAGATTCTCAAAAATGTAATGTGAGAGCACAGGAATACAGAAAGATTACTTGTTCATGAAGCTCGAAATATCATCAACACCATCAATCCATTCAACATCAGGGCCAAATTTGACTTGGCCATTCAAATCCAGAGTAACATGCACTCCAAGGCCACCATGCTCGGGAATGGGATAAATCAAATGCTTGAAAGGCGAAGATTTAACATTTGACAGAGTGAAGTAGCAACCACGAGCATAATAGGAAGAAGGAATAACTTCACTATCTATGCCATCAAATCGCTTTGCAAGGGACGAAGCACTCAAGCCTGCAGAGTTCACTACAAAGTTAGGAACAAGTACAAGCTCTGGTTGCAACGGAGATTTCCCATCCCAATTTTCAAGAGCCTTGCTATTAGAAATATGAAGGCAAATAGTATTTCCTTCACGATGACCACCAATCACAGTAGTGTTGTAGGAGAACGTCGTTCCGTAACTCTCAGCTTCCCCCTAAACCGACAATTCGAGTAACATCCCTGTCAATATATATTTGTAATCCATGGTAAAATCAGAAGCATAAGATTAGAGAATAGATAAGTTACAATTCTGTTTTCGCATTCACAACAACATGCAAAGTTAGGTTTTGGCATTTGATTAACAAGGGGCAAGAAAGATAGTAGGCCATACCACTAACGATAACATTAGGGAATGGGTATCAACTATTCCTGACACGGGTGATGATAAAGCTTTAATACATTGCAATTCAGGCTCAATTCTCATGGCTTCATAACCTTCCATCATCCTTAGACCGTCAACCCCATTTTCAATCCCAAGATTCATCAGACTATTCAACTTTGGAATCTCTGAAGATCCAGTAGCAACTATGAGTTTACCAATCTGTTTATGAGGAATATCATGTTCTTTGCAATACTTGTACAGCAATTCTCTTCCTTTAACACAAAACAGTGCCTGCAGAATGAGTTGACTGAAATTTCACCGACAAATCTTTCTAATATACAAAATGAAATAGGAATTTTATTGGAATTTAAGTAGGACTGAAATTTCAACAACAAATCTGGCGTCCCATTCCACCTGTGATTTTAAGTGGGCCATGGTAGTTAAGTTTCCAAATGGATATTTTGCCAACTCAGCATAAAATTGTGATTTAAACTTGGGATTTCAGTTAAATTCACAGTTTTAAGCTGCGCTGCGACTTTCAAAAGTGTTTTATATTTTACTAAATAGTTTCAAAAGTATTGTATACATTGCAACTTCTAGCCCAAACACCCCTAATGGCAGTATGTTAGCAGTGCAAACTCTCTCTTTCCTCCTTTCTTTTTTGATAAAATTGGGAAAACAAAACCAAATTTCAACTTTACACATCATAAGAAAACCAAAGTTTAAAAAAAATGGAAGTGGAATTGTAGCAAGAAGAAGTAGGGAGAACAAAATGTTAAGTTAATAAGAACATAATATAAGAAAGGGCAAATTACACCACCTAGTTATAATTGAATCAAGGTAAATTACACTCATCTCTCCCGAGGTTCAAAGAAAATACAGTTATAATTACAATAGTCTCCATCGAGGTTTTAATTCACTCCTTTTTCATCAATAATTCGTGAGTCATATAAATGAAAAAATTGTCTACTAAAATATATAATGTACCTTCATTTGTATTGGTTTTGATACAAATAGGTGAGTGTAATTTAACCTTGAATCAATTATACTATTGAATTTTACAACATTATGTCAATTTAATAATGAAATCAATAAGCACAATAATTATATATTCACTCTCCACGGTTGAGGTAATGGAATAGAGCATTTTGTTGTTTTATTATCTCAATTTTGTTGACTAATGTTATAAATTGGACTAAATTAAGTCAGTTTAAAAAATTAAAGCAAATTTAATACAACTGAAATTACACAGATCAAATAAGTACGAGATAGAGATAGAAATGCAAGCAGGAGAGAGAGAGAGAGAGAGAGAGAGAGAGACCTTGAGGGAATTGGGAGGGTAGTAAATGCCGGCATGGATGACTTCGCTGTTGCGAGAGCTAGTTCCTGTCCCGAACGTAGGACCAGAATCGATTACCAGAACTTGTCTTCTTAGTTTCAGAGAGAGATCTCTGGCTACAGCTATTCCCACCACTCCTGCTCCGATCACTACACAATCCACCCTCTCTCTCGGCACTGCTTCTTCTACACCATTGCAGCTGCTAAAATTGTTCCCAAATAGCACTGATCTACTTCTTAATGATGATGATGATGATGATGATGATGATGATGATGGTGTTAGCATCAATTTCAAGATTTCAGTTGGATTTCTCCACTTCCTCGTTGTCCTCGTAATCATCATCGACCTCCCTCCCTCCCACACAACACCTGGCGACCACTGGAAAGAAATAAATTATGGTGAGGGAAAAATATAGTGAAATAAAAAATAAAACGACGAAGAGAAATTTTATTTATTTTTTTATTTGAAAAAATTTAGCTAAAATTCTTCCGCTGCACCTTTGTTGGATAAAAATGACAATTTAATTTATTTTACTTCATAAACTTTTTAAGGAGGAGTGGTATAATTATATAAGAACAACATAAATATTTTTTTTTTTTTTTGAACAATATTGTCAGAGTGACATATTATTGTGTTTACATTAATTTTGAAGGTAATTTTTTTTTTTTTAAGAATTTCATAATCAACATCGATCTTATTTGATAGATTTTAATGAGAAAATTCTAAAAATACTAATTTTATTAAAAATCGACATTTAGATCAAAAGTTATATTATTTTAAAGTTTAATATTTTAATAATAGTGATATGTGTTGAATTTTTTAAGAAATTTTTTTTGTACTTGTCCTTAATGTATTAAAATTTTATTATGAGGGAGTTTTGACCAAATCTCTCAATTTTTTTAAATTTTTTTTAAAATTTTTGTATGAATTTGATTAAGATGAAAAGTTGGTAAGAAAATATAAGAATTCTAATTATAAGCGCGGGGACGTATTTTGTGAATGACAGCACGTAGTCAAGGCGACACTAAAGTGTCAGCCAAGGTGTCACGTGACTTGGTCACGCTGCTGAGATGATCTCAGCTAAGCCGAGGTTTTCTGCGGAAATTTCAAAATCCGAGATAAGCAGAAAAGAGGCAAGAGTCTTATAACAGGGGAGGATCTCAGTCTAGATAAAGATAAGACTCAAAAAGAGTTTATTTCTATCTAGATAGGGGTCTAAGATGAGCATTAAGTTTGAGTCCATTGAAGTAAGGCTTCTGATGGGATCAGGTCGCTGCTAGTTATAAAAGTAAGGCACTCTTGTGGGTCTGAGGTAAGTTTTCTTGTGATTTTATGCACAATTTGCTATTTTTGAGAGATACGTTGACTAACTTGATCGTCAGAATGCCTCCGAGTGGATGAACTACCGTCGGATTCTTATCTTCTTGTGTAGGTTGCTGGGCTTAATCTATTCTGCTGGTTCTCTCCAGCTGAGTTCCCTGTTTGGTTGTGTAGTAAAAAATCAACACTCACAATTTGGCATCGTGTATGGGAACTTAAGGAGAATAGATGGCCAACGATGGGCAGGAAAAAAAGATTGGAGATGACATTATCGGTGAGAGTGGTGAGTATACAGATCCTAACGCTGGGGAGAAAAGCCGTAATGAAGGAGCACAGGATCCGAATCCCGGGGAAAAAGATGTCGGCAAAGAGGGTAACGTCCCAAAGAAAGCAGGCCAAGATGAGTATTACAACGAAAGCGACCTCCAGGTATGGAAGGATAGATGCTTGAGGAACGACGACGAGATGAAAGGATTGGAAAACAAGTTAGTAGAGCTACAATTGGTTGTCAACTTCATGATGCAGAACAACATGATGCAACCACCGTTCCCGTTGCAGGATACGCCGATGTCAGCAACCAAGACTGATGCCTAGAAAGGGGGGGTAGAAAACAACCCCAGCAGTCCCGCAGCATAGCAAGGAAAATGAGCGCTCACATCGTCCTTCACGGGATGTCAGGCGAGCAGAGTCGGTAAGAGGTGAGTCACAGAGGACGTCTCATACCAAGGGAACTTATATCAAAGAACCCTGACATATCTAGGGAAAGGGCCGGGAGTAGCGCACCAAAGAGGCTGAAATCTGTTGATAGTCGAGCTCCTAGCCAGACGAAGGAGGATTTGAGAGACTACCTCCAAAGGAAGAGGCAGAATGCAAGATGCCGAGGTTACATCCCCCGTGAAGCCGAGAACACCATTCTCAATGGAATTGATAGGTATGAGGCCCCAAAGAGATTCTATATGCCAAGGTTCCAGATTTATGACGGCAAGTCTAATCCAAACTTTCATGTCGACTTATATTTGAATTCAATGACTTTGTATAGCAGGAACGACCAATTGCTGTACAAGGTGTTCCCCTCATCCTTTGGAAAAATCGCATTGGATTGGTTTCACAAGTTACCGAAAGAAACTGTAAAGAGTTGGGAAGGCTTGGCTGAGATGTTTGTGGCCAGGTTTGTTACAAACAAGTTGCAGCCACTAATGGTAGACTCCCTGTTGGCTCTGAACATTAATGAGGGTGAAGGCCTCAGGGCTTATGCCAAAAGGTATTACGAGGTGTTCAACCGAATAATGACATGTAATCAGGAGCTTAAGGTTGTATCTTTTAAAAACGACCTGGAGGATGAATGCCCGCTTTGGAAATCGCTGACAAAAACTCTACCAAAGAATATGGAGGAGCTCATGTCACGGATCGAGAAGTATGCCAGAGCAGAAGAGGATACACCGAGAACAAAGGCACCAAAGTATGATAAGAGAAACGGTTCGCTGAAGCGAGGCCGAGGTAACACTGGCTTTAACAGACAGGAAACAAGATTGAGGGCTGCACAGGTAGTCACCATTGTATTCAAGATTCTAGTCTACAAAGTTCTGGAAAGGATCAGGAACCAACCATATTACAGAGCGCCAGAGAAGATCCCTGGTGAGTTCATAGGAATGAGCCTTGGGAACATTGTGCTTACCACAATGAGGATGGGCACTTGACTCAAAGATGTAGGTCTCTGAAAACACACTTGGAGGATCTGGTCAGACAGGGTCACCTGAGAGACCTAGTAGATGAGGACAGAACGAGGGAAGAGCAAACAAGGCTACCCAAGGGACCAGCAACACCACCGCCACCACAGCAAGCATATGGACATCGAGTGATCAATGTAATTCACTCGAAGGTCAATGAGAATGATGTACGTTGGGGAACTCAGATGGTAAGGCACCTGCAGCATGTGTATCAGGTCCGGTAAAAGAAGCCTAGGACAAATGAGTACCACAGCCTAATGGTTTCTTTTACTGAGGCAGACCTAGATTTGGTACAACATCCACATAACGATGCCTTGGTGAAAACGTTGAAGATTGGAGAGTGCCAAGTGAGGTGCATAGTGGTTGATCAAGGCAATTCTTGTGACATCATATATGTTAGATGTTACAGGGAGCTTGCCCTTCACCCAGATGACTTGGAGCAATCTAATAGCCCGATGGTTGGATTTAACAAAACGCCGACGTGGCCTCTAAGAGCCACGAATTTGAAGTTGCAGGCATGCACAAAAAAGGTAAGCACGGAGTTTACAGTAATTGATACTCCCTCCCCTTACAATATAATTTTGGGAACACCATGGTTGGGCACAATGACGGTTGTTCTCTCAACATTGCACCAATTGTTGCGGTTCTCAACTAAGCACAGAATTGAGGAGGTCAGAGGGGATCAAGTGCAGGCAAAAAATTACTCCATGGTAGCAATGAAGTCCACATGCAATGTGCGAGAGGCAGAGACAGTAGAAATTGAAGACGAGGACATGGAGGTCCTAGATGATATCGGCAAAGAATTAGTTGACAAGAGTGAGGAAGCTTTAAAGAAGGTTTTGGTAAAAGAAGATGATGAAGAGTTTTTCTTCCTTCTCGGCTCAAGCTTAGCTGAGAAGGAGGAAATGGAGTTAGAGGCTTTCTTGCGAGCAAACATAGAAGTGTTTGCCTGAACTCCATACGAGATGCTTGGCATTGACCCCGAGGTCACTTGCAATAGACTCAATGTAGACAAGTCGGCTAAACCTATCATCCAGTAGGCAAGAAGGCCGACATTGATTCATGTGTAGGCGGTAGAGGAGGAAGCAGACAAGTTGTTGGAAGCTAAGGCCATTTGGGAGGTGAACTACCCAACCTGGTTATCTAACACAGTAGTTGTGAAAAAGAAGAATGGTAAGTAGAAGGTCTGCGTGGACTTCACCAGCCTGAATAAGGCTTGTCCCAAGGACAGTTTCTTACTACCCAAAATTGATCAATTAGTAGATGCCACTTCAGGGCATGGAAGGATAAGTTTCCTAGACGTATACAGAGGCTACCACCAGATAGTAATGTACGCTTTAGATGAAGAGAAGACGACATTCATCACCCTAAAAGGACTCTATTGTTACAGAGTGATGCCTTTCAGGTTGAAGAATGCAGGAGCAACCTACCAGAGGTTGGTAACCAAGATGTTCAAGCACCTGATCGGTAAAACAATAGAAGTCTACATTGATGACATGGTCATAAAGACCAAGGAGCCTGGGAACCATCTGGCCGATTTAAAGGCAGTCTTTGATATCCTAAGAACATATCGGCTCCAACTTAATGCTTTGAAATGTGTATTTGGAGTCAAGTCTGGTAAGTTCTTGGGATACTTGATCACCAGAAGGGACATTGAGGCAAGCCCAGATCAAATCAAGGCCATCCTTGATTTAAAGAGTCTAATATTGGCCAAGCAGGTCCAAATTTTGATTGGCAAGGTAACAACCTTGAATAGATTTATCAGCCGAAATTTTGATAAGTGTAAACCATTTTTTCAATTGTTGAAAAAAGCCACAGATTTCTTGTGGACAGAAGAGTGTGAAGTCGTATTGGTCGACTTGAAAAGGTACCTAATAATAACTCAAGTTCTGTCAAATCCAATACCTGGAGAGGAATTGTTTCTATACTTGGCAGTTTCAGACCACGCAGTGAGTGCAGTGGTAATCTGAGAAGAGGAGGGAGAACAAAAGGCGGTATACTATGTGAGTAAAACCCTAGCAAGTGCAGAAACTAGGTACTTGTCCCTGAAAAAGTTGACACTAGCCCTGGTGATGGCTTCCAAAAAATTGAATCACTATTTCCAAGACCACAAAATTGTGGTGCTGACTTAGTATCCCTTGAAATCTCTGTTGCAGCATGGAGATCTGACAGGTAGAGTAGCCAGATGGACAGTGGTACTAGGCCAATACGACTTGGAATTCAGGCCTAGAACAACAATCAAGGGCCAGGTTCTGGCCGACTTTGTGGCCAAGTTCACCCCTGGTGCCATCCTACGCCGAGCTCCGGCGGGCCGAGGCTTAGGATGTCCAGGGGGACCAAAAGAA